GCTCTCACTTAACCACCAAGAACTCAAATTTCCTCACTTTACCCCCCATTCTCCTACTCCGTCTCAAATATTGCTCATTCCTTTCAACGCCGTCTCATTTTCCTATTAAATGGCCTCTCTCTCTCTCTCTCTCTCTCTCTCTCTCTGATCCTTAACCCAACCCCCATTGCACCCCCTCCTCTTTTTCTCTCTTATCTCTCTCTTACTCTCTCTTTTCTCTCATCCTCTCCCTAGACCCAACCCTAATGCACCTCCATCGCAACCCACAACTTCCCTCCCTCAGCCTCTCTCTCTCTCTCTCTCTCTCTCTCTCACACACACACACACACACACAATCTCAGCCTCTCTATTTTCTCCTCTCCCCTCCCCTCCCCTCCCCAAACCTAACTCTCCATGGAATTATTCAACACACCCAAACCATCAGCACTCAAAATTTTATAAAAAAACATTTTCTCGATAGCCACTGCCCATCTTCTCTTAGTGAGAGAAAAAGGCAAAAAGAAGAAAAAAGATGAGAGGAGGTGGGGGTGAGATGAAGGTTCGATGAGTGTTGGGGAGAGATAGAGAGAGAAGAGAGAATATAGAAGGGCTAAAATTACTAGAATGCCCATGCCACCTCAACACACTTAACGGTTTTGTGGACATAAATAGATGGAAGTGGTAAAGTGAGAAAATTTTAGCAATTTTTAGAGATTTGGGAGGTGAAGTGATGAAATATGAATTCCGGGTGATTAAGTGAGTGCGAGCTCAAGTTCTAGGGGTGAAACAATAAATAAGCCTAAATATTTTAAATGTTTTGATGGTGGATTAGCCTTCTCAAATAGCCTCCTCACTTTAAATTCCTCATTGTAGCCTCTTTCGTTTGATATATATCATTTGGGCTCTTGTCGGCTACTAGATTTTGTTGGGCCCAAAGTAATAAGCCTCAATATAAAGAATTTGGGCTTTTATTTTTGTGTTAAGCCCAGTCAGTTTATAGAGTTGGCATTAGTTTTTATTTGTATATGTATTTAATGTTTTTACTCAACAATTATTGTGTATGACATTTGGACATAAATTTTTCATGGAGTAATATTTGAAAAAGAATTTGGGACTTTGAGATATCTATAGACATATGTATAGGTGCAAATTACGAAGCAAAAAGGACTGAAGTAGGTTTTAACTTAGTTCTCTTGTCTCAACTATGTTAGGTCTTCAATTTGTTTTTTGGTGTGTAAAGAAATGGTCCCGTCAAGCATGTGCTAGCTCACTGAGATGCATATAGATATACGAGGTTTGAATTCACATTTGATTCATTGGGACCATTTAGATTATGTGTCATGCTTAATTTCGAGTCATGATAAAATACTATAATAGTATGGTTACATGGATATAAGTAGATATTTATTGATATTATTCTTTAAAAGGGAGAAAAATAAACTATGTCGTCCATCTATATTATAACACATGTACAAAATATACCACGTAACCATATTACTGTAATATTATATAATTTCTCCTTAATCCCAGAAATTTCTTTCTTCTATTCTTTGAGAAAGTTTCCATGCGGAATCAAAATGTACATTTTTAGGACCACTTCATGAAAACTTAAGTCTTACACTCAAGTTAAAATTGATGGATAGGATCAAAATGTACATTTGTATTTTATTTTGTTTTTAATTTGCATGCTTGTGTTAAAGGAGGAAGGACCACATGAATTATTTAATTAATGCGTCAATATCATCATTACAAACTATTCACTTTTCGATTTCAATTTTTGTTGACCAAATTATTCCATTCATAATTCCATTACCATGTGTAGATTGGTCTTTTAATTATTTTAATTAATTATGATAATTTCTCACAAATTATGTTGGAAAAGTTGGTACATATGCAGCTTTTCCCCGAGCTAATTCTGGAACTGGGATCCACTTAAAAATTAATCCTGCATCATAATTGGCATGCATGCATATGTATGTGGATATAAACATATCTAACAACCAAATGTGACATATATAAACAAAGGTTTGTTGAGAGAGAGAGAGAGAGAGAGAGAGAGGAGAGAGAGAGAGAGAGAGAGAGAGAGAGAGAGAGAGAGAGAGAGGAAAAACTTTACTCAAACTTTACTCTCAAACTAACTTTAAAACCAAATGTGCTGATCTAGTCTAGATGTAAAGCCACGGCCCTTTTATAGGAAAATGAAGCTTTTCTACCACCAAGAATAGAGGAAGCTTGATCAGACTAAACCGAGGATTAAGGGCGTACTTATCCGCGACAAGTGCACTCTAATTATCTTGATTATTATTAATTTCACTTCGATTTAGAACAATAATGAATGGTTCATAACTAGGTTAGCTAGGTTGCATCGTTTTCGATTCATCTCCTCCACTCCATGTCCATCTCCATCTCCATCCATCTCCATCTCTACGTACGAATATATACGTACCAACAAAGCTTAACAAAAGATGGCATTAATACATTTGCAGAACCCAACTTATATATGAGGACGAAGCTGCTAAGCTATTATTCATGCATGCAGAAATGGTTGAGCAAATTAAATGAGCTCGACAGGTACGTGGGGCACCTCATGAAACAAATGGTTGTGGTCAAGACGCAAGTCGTATTCTATTTCCAATTCTCTATGAGGGTTTTTTGGTGGTTTTTTATCATTTGTATGTGGGCCATGGCATGGGACTGTTGGGACAATAACACATCAATACGTCTTGTCGTCCACTAAACAGCTAAACGCATTACTATAGCTTATCGATCAGTATAGTTGGGCTATGAACAATGTGCGAAATGTGCTGACTTTTCTCCCCCTTTTCAATTATAGCAGTAATAATGTTGACCAAGGTCACACTCACACCTACATTAGAGTCTTGTAGGGGAAAGAAAACGAAATTCATTTATGGCTTCACACCAAATTGTAGGTCTGTTTGTGGTGAAATTATTAGAGGTAAAAAAAAAGAAAAACATAAAAGAAAAATTGCCCTTGTGTCTCCAGCTAGTAATGACATAGATTAGTCCGTTTTGATTTGTAGTTGTCTTGGTTTGAGGAGTCTTCTGACATTATTTGAACTTTTTATTTTTTAAAATTGTATCGCTGTTTATTGGCGTGGATTCCTTTTGAGTTTATTGTTAAAGTTATTATGAAAAAAGAAAGTAACACGAGTATGAGCACAACCACCGAGAAATAAAGTGAGAGATATATTTTCCTTTTTATCGCACTTGTCCTTCACAATATTAATTTGACATTTTTGGAGTTGTATAATTTATAGCTTAAATGGTCCCCCTCGCTTATGCATATAGTCGTACGAGGTCGGTTGTATTATTAAAAAGGAATTGAAGATGGTGCTTTTAGAGGTCATAGAACAGTTTCTTGTTCAAGAGTATGATGGGTAGGAGATGAATGTCCAACAAACTTTAAACGAAAACAAAAACAAAAAAAACAAAAGAAAACAAATGTTCATAGTACTAATTAATGGGACCACTATCATGGAAATTTTTAAGTTTCGCACATAAAAATAAAAATCCCACATGCCAACACAATTATATAATTATTCAGAGGCTGGACCACAAAGTAGTGCTTGAATATGATTTTCTAATGCGATTTATCAATCTGAATGTTATTTTTTTTTTATTAAAGAAAAGTAATGTCAACATACATATTATTCTTCAGCAGAAAGACTTCTTTATAAAGAAATGAAAGTAATGAAACGAAGATAGAGAAGTTTTTCTCTTTATGTACAGGAGAAAATAAGGATAAGAATGACAAATCTGGCTCGTGTGCCGTTCTAGAAAAGCACAAATTAAGATTTCAGGAATTTGAAATAAAGTAGTATCCATGCATTTGGGGCAGCCAACTGCGGCCACAAACCACCACAAAGGGCAACATAAGGCCAACAAATTAAGAAGAGTAAATACAGAAGCTAGCAAAAACAAAAACCAATTCCCCTGAATTTTGAGAGATCCGAAGAACCTGAACCCAATCCCAACAAGCCACGCCATGCCACCAACAAAAACACAAACCAATTTAATTATTTAATTTGACAGGAAGACCAAACCCCAGGGAGCCGGGCAACAACTATGAAATCATTAAAAAATATTTAAATGATTTAATAATTTCCTTACCCGATATCATTATATAATTTTGCAAACAATTAGATGAATCGAATTGAACTAAACCATCAAATAGAGTTGGCAGGCAAAACCTGCACGAGTCCGCACCCACGTTCTACAGTTAACCTTAAAATTTCGCTTCCCAATTGACTGATTGACTTGGATAATGATTAATTAATCCATGTGTTAAGTCAATGTTGAACATTAACAATCTGATCATGATTTGACAAACTCATGTTATTAGTGATTCATAATGCACAAAACAAGTATAATTGAAGATGGACTTTATAATCAAAGTCAAGGAAATTGATAACAACAAATTTTAAGTGTTAACTAATGATAAGAAATGGTCCCCTTCCTTGAATGTACTTTTTTTTTTTTTTTTTTTTTTTTTTTTTTTTTTTTTTTAACCTTTTCATACCTTTGTTTTCTTAGAATGGTTATGTGGTCGGTTAAAAAAAAAAAAAACGTAAAAGAAGATTCTTCTCTAAGTCTTCCGACTCTTCTCCATTTCCACTTTCCTTTTTTAAAGCTATATGCGCTATAAATTATAAGAAAATTTAGTGTAGCCGTGGAGAAACTTTGAGATTCCTCATATCTTTATCGAATTCAATTGCTAATATGTTAATCTGGTTGGATCACGTTAAAAAGAAGAACTTCAATCTTAGACCACTAGTTTTCTTTTATGATATCAAATTCAATTATTGAGTTTTGATATCGTATAAGTTGAGAACATATATGTCTAGACTGTCTGTCAACATTAGATATTTATATGAAATTATAAATTTGAATTATTGGTTAGATTCAAAGTGTTGCCATATAACGCATATCTTTCAGAAAAGACAAGTTTACCAAGACATACTTAACTAGTTAATCCTTATTAAGATAAAATTAAGGTGAGATCAAATTAGTAAAGTGAGAAGCGCCGTCAGCCCCACAGAGGGTTTCTCGTCGGCCCCACAAAGCTTATCTGACATGATATTGTACGGACTGTCTGCAATCCTGTGACTAAACTGAGACACCACCAAGTGTTGGGCCTTTTGCGCCACTCTCAACTCGACAACGCATTCGCCCAAACCACCTGGTTTCCCAAAACCACCAGATTTTCTCTGTCCCTCTCTTCCCCTCATTCTCTCTTCTTTTTCCCCATTTGTGTTGCACAGCGCCTTTGCTTACTAAACCAAAAACACTTCCCAATACGAAAATAGGAAGAAAAAAAAACCCAACACATTAAACACCACTATCACATAAAAAAAAACCCATCTCCATGCTTCTTCTTTTCATCTAGCTTCTTTTCTGGTATCAACCAAATTTAGGGTTTTCTTTCAAATTTGGTATTTTTTCATCCATTTGGTTTCTAAGACTATATATAGTAATTTCTCCCCCTCACTTCCCTCTTTCCATTTGTAGTAATATAAGAAAAAAGAGAGGGAAAAAGAGAGAGAGAGAGAGAGAGAGAGAGAAAAAATAATGGGAAGGGGTAAGGTTCAGCTGAAGCGGATCGAGAACAAGATAAGCAGGCAAGTAACATTCTCGAAGAGAAGGGCCGGATTGCTCAAGAAAGCTCATGAGATCTCAGTTCTATGCGATGCTGACGTGGCACTTATTGTCTTCTCCACCAAAGGGAAGCTCTTTGAGTATTCTAGTGATTCCAGGTCTGTTACGTTTTCCTTCATCACTGTGCTTCTTCAGCATATATATATATATATATATCTTTCTCTGGGCATGGATCTTTCTGGTTTCTTGTTAGTGTTCTTTGCTTCTGTTAATCCAAAAATGTTTATAAATTAATATAGAACAAAAAAAGCTAAGCTTAAACACCAGTACTTAGATATATATGCTCTCTCTCTCCCTCTCTCTCTCTCTCTCTCTCTCTCTCTCTCTCTCTCTCTGTATTTGTTTGTACTAAGAGGTCAAGATGCAGAAAGTCATGAAAAAAAATGTGTAATCCCATATAAAAACAAAAGCTTTGTAATATATATTATCGCTTTGATCAGCTACAAATAATTAACAGAAACAAAATCTTCTTGTTTTTGGTTTTTATATAATTAATTGCTTTGTTTCATTTCTAATTGATTAGCTTATTGTCAGAGTAAGTACATAGAGTCCAGGTTCACTCACAATTCACAGACCTGTACTTACGGGTCAAATCAATAATTGGGAATTAATTAATTTAATTTTGAATGCAATCTAAATACTTAAAATGGGTATTTTTGCAGCTCAGTAGTTGTATATGAAGATGATATAAGACACTGGCATTATGTACCATCTCTGTCTCAGAAAAAGGGTTTTGTACATATCACATATACACCCAAAAGAGGAGGCAGTACTTATTTTAAAAATAAAATAAAATTAGCACTTATTTTTTATTTATTTATTTTATAAATAATAATTTGTTTACAGGTGTTCGACCTGGGTGAGGTTTCATTGAGCAATGTGTCATGATGGGAGTGGTGTTTTCGTTGGTTTTGTTACCTAGTATATGAGCATCTTGTAGATCTTCAATATCTATGCTGGTTGTTTTGTTTGTGTACCTAGCTAGGAGGAAAAAGCCCTCTTCCAATGATATAGGTTGTCGAAAAGGTGCGTAGGGGAAGAGAGAAAAGCAAATGTTGGTTCGTTATGTGAGATTCCCAAAAGGATTTCCCATTTGCGTCTAATGTGGTTAATCATTCAATTAGACAAAACCACAGGATTAGGGAACCGGAAAGCAAGTATTATTTTATGTAACTATTTTTAAAAAATAGATATATCTGTTAATGCTTATATTAGCTAGAGATTTTGATTAAGCTTGTTAGGTTAATCTTCCCAACATGTGTGCATGTTGTGATTCATACACATACCTTTACTATGGAGGTTGATATTTCATACATTTGGAAAAACATTTTATTCTAGTATGAACTTGCCTAGTTGATTTTGGGTTATGAATGTTACACCAATTTTAGCTAGGAATACTTATAAATTCATCTTTTTCCTTTGTTATCTTTTGTGTATTAATTTACTCACGCTTCCCTTCCGAACCACTTTATCTCATGGATTAGATAATAATCCATCATGTTGAACTTGTAATTTGCGTTTCTTTAAGGTTCTATCAATTAACATGAGTGTGGATTGATAACATCGCGTGGTACTAACTAGCTATGTGGAGACTATTGAGATAGAATGAGATAACAACTCGTCCCCTCCACATCAAAAAGGAAAAGATTTGGGGGAAGCATAATCAAGTTAGCCTGAAGTAGAAGTTTTATAATATGCAAGACAGCGTATAGGACGTAATAGATCGTATGCATAAAACCTGAAAGTATTATGCCTTATCACATAAAACATCGATCGAGTATAGTAACCGTCTAATATGTGAGGCGTATTACCTTGGTTAAGTATGTATATCATTGAAGTCTTTAAAATGCTCAAATTTATTGAGGCGGCTCAGCAGAGCCACTCTTGAGTCTGGAGTGGCCATGCTCCATACATTTTAAACACTAATTTGGTGTAATACAAGCTATAGTAACCTTATACTCATTTGGCTAAAGAGTTTCAGCTACTTTCACATTTCAGACACATAGAATTTACCTAAAGCCATCTTGGCATATAAAGACAAATGATTTTAAGGTGCCGAGCCTAGTAACGTGAGCTTGTAACTAAGTATAGGGTATTAAAGTGATTGCGATGTGACGGAGACTAAGCTAGGTGGACAAAGAAAAAGGGAGCATCGATATGAACTATTACATTTTATCACTTACAATCTGTGAGTTGAACTATACTGCGTGTTAGAATCTATGAGTGAACTTTGTCCCTAAGCACTCAAGTTATTATAATATTTGTCATACATATGTATCTACTTCTCCTTCTCACAGGTACATGTGCGGAGTTAAATGAGGAGTAATTAAGGGGGAGGGATTTTAATACGAAATTGTGTCTTCATATTATGATACTATTGTTAACAACTTAGTGTCAAAATCCTTGTTAACAATTGTGTCTTTAACATTTTAATAAAGTCTGAGTGATATTAATCTCGAAAGTATTGTTCAAATGACTACATGGAGTCAAAATCCTTTGTCATTCTGAAAGCTTTCCTTTTTATAAAGCATGGAGAGCATCCTGGAGCGATATGACCAGTATTCGCATGCAGAACAGCAACTCACAACTGATTCCGAACCACAGGTATCCTTTCATACGTGCAGCTCACCAAATAGTTATATATATATATATATATATATATCTTAAAATATGAGTAATTGTATTAAATAGGTTTTTTCTTCTTCTTGCTTTTGTTAAGATTTTGTTACAAAAGTAGGACCTTCATTTTTCCCTCTCGTTCGAATGCATGTCCCTTAATGAACTCATGAGCAAAAGATGGATTTAGAGTTTTATCAGTAGCCTTCTAAAGATTAATTAGCACTTTTGAAGAATCCCTGTATATGCTGTGTATAGGGAAGCTGCTGGTCTCTGGAGTATCCCAAGCTTGCAGCAAGGATTGAAGTCTTGCAAAGGAAACTAAGGTATCATGCCAGTTAGCACAAGAAATTATTTAAGCTATATATATATATATATTGATATTGAATGTAAGGACTTTAAGAAGGAAAAAGCTTCTGAGTTGAGGACAAGATGAAAATATCATGACAAAGATCATGGTGAATTTCATTAACCTTGTATTTGACACCGATTTCTCCAGGCATTTTACTGGAGAAGATTTAGACTCCTTAAGCTTGAGAGAGCTTCAAAATTTGGAGCTACAGCTTGAGACAGCACTTAAGCGCATACGAACAAGAAAGGTAAAAGTGCATATAGCTAAGCAAGCTTGTCAACTCAATTCGTATATATGGTTTTCGGTTTACACTAATCATATGGATTTTGGCATTTGCAGAACCAACAGATGCACGAATCCATTTCAGTGCTGCACAAAAAGGTAGAAAGTTTCTCATGCATGTCCGGAAAAATGTGATATATACTATATATATGCATGGTTTTCCCCTGCTCATGTGTAGACATGCATGGTCGTATCGTATATATTTACCATGGTAAATGATTAGCTTAATTACTAGGTGTGCTTAGGATAAAATCAGGGTTAAGGGTCACTTGTAGGCTATTTTAATCCAAGATGAAATTGGTGTTAATTATATTTGCACGTCATCGATCTCACATTATAGGGACTTGTTTGTTACAGCAAAAGGCACTGCAGGAGCAAAACAACTCGCTAGGAAAGAAGGTAATAAAATCATGATATATCATATAATGGCCAGAGAATTAGCGTTGATCATAAGCTCGTTTAATTAATTAAAAGTTGTGGTATATGTTTTTATATATGACCCCCAGCTGAAGGAGAATGAAAATATGCTGGAGGTAGAGCATGATGGTCAGGTGCAGCAGGTAGAGCAGCACCAAAGTAACCAAGACGCCCACAACTCATCCACCCTCATGCTAATGCCGCCGCCACCACCCCAAACCTCGTCAACACCGGCACTACTTGCTTCTCTAACCATTGGGTTCTCTCTCTCTCTCTCTCTCTCTCTCTCTCTCTCTCTCTATAGATGATACAGTTGAAGAATATTTGGGTTACATGCAAAAAAAGCAAAGTATATTGAGACTGTATGCAAATATTGATGCAGTGGGGGAATCCAGGCAAGAGGAGGGATGGAAGATGGTGATGATAATGACGGAAGAACTCAAACTCGGCCGCCTACTACTACTCACACACTCATGCCAATGTGGATGTATCGCCATTTCAACGAATAATGGGCTTGCTGACCGGCCGGCTATTCTCAAATAAAATTCTAATGTTTTTGGTTGTGGAGGTCGAAGAAGATACATCGATCACTAATTAACATTCAATTTACCTCTACTGTAAAGTTTTATTATTATAAAGAATAAAAACAACAATGTTTCTTCAAACTTGTAATATTCTAAATTCTAATCATATTGAAAGAAAATTTGACATGGTTAATTGTGTACTTGATTTAATTAGGATTACAAAATAGCAATTTGACATAACTACAAGAGATTAACCCCGTCACAATCTGATTACAACAATTTTCAATACCTAATTCATAACCAGATTGGAAATAATAAAGTGATTAATAGACAAATTATTGACATAATGATTGTCAATTTTAAAATCTGGTCCAATTGATCCTTCACTTCCTATTACTGGTGGTCTCATCGTCTTCATATTCACAATCACCCTCAAGCACATGCTGCCTGCAGGAAGTAAAAAGTAACATGGTACTTCATCAAAGATAAACATAAAGAACAAAGAAGGAATTCCAAACCAATGGAGACACTGCTGCAAAGCTCCCAAGGCACCAGAGTTCATGAATATTATGTGATCAACAAATTAAAAAGCTCTTTGGATGAAAGAACCTCTATGAACATGAGGACCTTTCAAATTTTAAATCATTGCCACAACACTCACGCATAGGTTAACTCAAAATGTGACAGAAACTCTGGTGCTCCTTCAAGGTAGTCCAGTTCCTATATTTATATTCCATTGATTGTGTGTGACATAGATTCTACTAACATCTTCAATGCTATCAAATTTAGATTTCTAGTAGATTTTATCCTAATTTTATGAAGGCAGAAAAACCAATATTACATAAATGTGGAATTAGGCCATGGATAGAAAGGAATACCTCAATCTTTCACAAAGGCGTGCTAAAGCATCTGAACCTGTTCTAGACGCAATGTCCTCAATCTCAGAAGCATTCTTTAGATTCACGCTATCCGCAAGCCTAAATTCACACAACTCCTTCAAGGAACATGCATCAGTCAACACGGCTGAATGGCCACCACCAGCTGCAAGTTTCCGCACTTCCCCCACGCACCTGCAATGCACACTTCAATCAAAATACTAATCAAGATAGCCAAGACCTGATGAACAATTTATTTGTGCCTTACCAATCAACCGGGGATGGATACCAAGCATAAGTGGATTTCTCGTTAGATGCCTGACCGTAGCTATTGTAGCCCCATCCATGAATTCTTCCATCCCTCGTAGAGATAAGTGTGTGGGAGTGTCCACATGTAATAAGTTGTACACTAGTTGGAACAACTAATGCAGGGATATTCCGGAGAAAAGACTCAGACTCATTAGCGTTGCATGAAAAGAATCCAGTGTCAGGGCCAAGGCCTAACTGCCCTGATCGACCACCACCCCAAGCATAAAGAGCTCCCTTCTGAGTCACGGCACATGTATGTACACCACCGCATGCAATATCCTTTATGAATATTCCATCAAGTGCGACCACTCTCCTAGGCAATAACTCTTTCTCCCCAGACTGGAGGGAACAATGCCCAAGTTGACCCATGTTTCCAAGCCCCCAAGTATACCTGTGAGGGCCAAATAAATTTATTGTGAGGAAGTATTCTGCAAAGAAAATAAAGTTAAACAAAACAAAAAAAAGAATAAAGTAAGATAACTGTAGCAAGGATCTTTCAGCTGCTACAACCATTGCTGGCTGCATCATGCATAACAAATATAAATTCAGAAATGTATAGTAGCAGAATGCAGCATCCTGTCTCCCTTAAAATGTGAGATTCCCATACGAAGATTTTGCAAACCTTCTGAGTTAAATGTGCCATGCGGATAACCACAATACTCAAGCTTAAATATAGAACCTAATCTCCATCTAAGAATTTCTTCAGATCACTTACACCTCGCCTTTTTCAGATATAGCTGCAGTGTGGTACTCCCCGCATGACACTTGGGTAATCTTCACAAGCTCAGGGGCATCATCAAGGAACTTCGCATAAGCATTTATTATACGAGCCCCCTGTAATCCTTCACATGTAAATCCTCTGCCAAGCTGACCATATTCATTATATCCTGGTGTACCAGCACAGTAATTAATTCTGATTAATTAGAGGCGGGAAAACACAAACTTCAGTTTTCTATTCATATTGTCAGGTATATATATCTATCACCAAATTGCAATACAAAAATCAACTCTAACAGATATACCTAGAAGCTGCTTTCAAAAGAATAATGATATTATAAGAAACTAACAAATGGAATATGCACTTATAAGGGTAGAGGTAGACATAACAAATGATCCTAGAATCACAGTTACCCCAAGCTTGTAGCAGGCCATCCTCTGATAAAGCCATCACATGAACCGCCCCACAAGACACTTGACGGATAATCTGTAAAAACTTTTTGGTAAGTAACAAGTATTAAATTTGATAACCATCTTCAATGAAGCATTTGATACAACAGGAATTCATCTCTTTCTCTTGTGGGTTTTGGAGTTGTGATCTAAGAATAGTTGTCAAACTTTTAAATGCATTGCCTGCAGTGGCAGCAGAGCCTAGTAGCTGTTCAAAGTAATCCCTTGACTTTGACAAACCAGCCCAGCTAATGGAAATTGATCAAGGTTTTTAAAATCAATTACTGCCTCAGCTTTTTATTAAGAGAACTTATTTACTTGATAAATGAAAAATATTTTATGCACAATTGAAACCTGATGAGCTCATCTTACTATCCAAATAATATCATAATTCTAAGACAAAAAATTCTGACCTAAAATGAATGCGTAATCAATAAGAAGTAACGCATACCGTGTTTGGAGTGAAGGCGCCCCAAAATAAACGTGGAAAATTTGATCCCTATAATGAGAAACAGGGAAGAAAAACAGTAAACAAATTACAGTACTATCTGCCAAAAAGGGATGAAAACAGGAATGACGCTAAAGAAATTCATAGTAGGACCTGATTTTGCCCCCAAATCCAAAGCCTTCTTGTTGAGACAGATCCATCATTTTCACGAGGTTCTGCAATAGCAGCGGTACAATGTGCTCCACAAGATACAGATTTCACAAACTCTGTCTGTAATTGCTTCACTTTCTTTGGATGTTTTCTTCGCTCCTCAGTTCCGTCTCCCAATTGACCAAAGTCATTAGCCCCTGGATCAATTGTTTACACATTCAGGTTATATAATGCCCTCAGCATATGAACATCAACCAAACACGATTTTATATGTACTTTGTCAACCACCACAAGCATATGGCTTATTCCTATCACTATAATCAACCATTTCCAAAACGAGAACCGGCAATTTGATTTCACAGATCTATTAATACAAACTAAAATCACTAACAACCAATATTCAAGACGGTAAACGGTTCATTTCCACCATATGCAATTGATTGAATTCATAAATGGAAAACCAATTCCAAAAGTAAAAAGCGACAGACTTATCAACCGAACATGCCTTTGAATTTACTCTATCACCATAACCAATTCCAAAACGAGAAAGGGCAATTTGACTTCACATTTCCATTATCCCATATTCAATGAATTGAATTCAAATTTGGAAACTTTATAATTATAAAACACAGCATACCCCAAGTGAAAAGCGACCCGTCTGAGGCTACAGCGGCTGTGTGCTCGCGGCCACAGGCAATGTCCAGCCATCGCGAATTGGCCCCAGCCGTACATCCAAAAAGCTCGGGCTTGAGCTGCTTCGGGATCCTCAATTGCCGCTCCTTACCATTGCGACCCGTCTGCCCAGACTGGTTATAGCCCCACACGTAAATTGCACTCTTCGTCGGAATGCTCACTGGTCGGTTTCGACCCAATAGTTCATCTATGTCCATTTTCATGTATTGCCTGCCCCTGAGAACGTTTATTGCTTTTAGCTACGAATGTTTGGTATGGAAAAGAATGAAACCAGAAATTGAGCAAATTCTAATTCAATTGAAGCAGAAAGTTGCAAGCTTTATAAGATTGGTTCTTCGTTTGGTTGCAATAGATTGCATTCAGCTACGAATTTGACACGGAATGAATGAAAACAAAAGTTGAGCAAATTCTGATCCAATTGAAGCAGAAATTTGCAAGCTTTAAGAGATTGGTTCTTTTGTTTGGTCGCCGAGAAAGGTGAATGAGGCGGTGGAGCTCTGTTTGATTGGATTCTAGGCAACCAAACAGAGTCACAGAGATGACTGATGAGAAGCAAAACCAAATTTCCGATAAAGAGAGAGAAAACGGAGAAGAGTGGTTACCTGAAAAGAGTCAAACTCAAAGAGGAAGGGAGAAAGGTAGAAAAGAAACTGAAATTATAATTGCCGTTTATCGTTGGTGGAAATGTTCCGCGAAGCTGGGAGACGGAGACGGAGTCGGGTCGGGTTACGTGGTTGAGGCCCACATGCTTTACGCTTAAGAATTTTCTAGAATCCATAATAAAATTATTTTAAATTTTATAAATTTATAGAATTATTTTTGGGTAAAAAATTAATGAATTTATAAGTTATTTGGACGATGGCATTCTAAACTTGAGAAAGGAGAAATGTCTAGATTCAGTGAATGAAACTTGCACCGCATCAAAAGTAAAAATAAAATCAGTAAACTTTATGTTATATGTTAAAAAAAATAATTTGACTACAAATACAATATTCATATCATGGGCAAACTACAATATAAGTTCTAAACTTTTTATACAAGCGACATTGACGAAAGAGATGACGTTGAGTGGACATATAGAATTGATTTTCTTGAAGCCATAGTTTTTACGTAATTTCACTTGGTTGTGTTGGTAGATACGTATTTTTCCGCTTATGTATATGTCATTTCTAGCTTAGCTTTGTGGACTTTTTTCTCCGACTTTGGGAGGTACGTGCGTGGTAGGCGTTGAAGCCTGAACAGAAGAGACAGAAAAAATAAACAGAAAAGGTGGTAGAAGAAATTGAAAACGTTCACAAAGTATCCGTAAAGCCACAACGCGTAGAATTGTCTTCTTCTCTTGTCCAACTCTCCAAGTCGCAGCTTTGATAAACTGACAGACGGGTAAGCAATCAAAGCCTTGTACTTTAGATTCATTTCATTTGTTTCATCGGTCTTTGTATGTGTGTTTGTGGGTTGATATTAAAACCATCAATCTTTGTAAGATGATATGAATTGTGAATTGGGTGACCCCTGATATCTGAATTTCCGGGAATTGTATCGAGCACCAATTTCATGTGTTAATTTTGTGGCAGAAAACACTGCATAAAACTATGGCTGGTGGGTCAGCTGCGAAAAAGCTTATCCAAATTGATATCATTTCAGATACTGTATGCCCTTGGTGCTTTGTGGGCAAGAAAAATCTTGACAAAGCTTTAGAGGCATCTCGTGATCGATACGACTTTGAGGTTATCTTCTTTCTTGTTCTTGTTGATCTTTGTTGTTTTGTTCTTCCATCTTAAACTATTGTTGTCACTGTACATAAATTGTTGTTGTTGTTCCATCAATACTAAACTACTGTCACACTGTACATAAATTGTTGTTGTTGTTCCATCAATACTAAACTACTGTTAGTGTATAAATTTTTTGCAGGTTAGATGGCATCCATTTCAACTTAATCCTAATGCCCCTAAAGAAGGTGTTGATAAGAAGAGGTATTATGAGGAAAAATTTGGGTCTGGCATGTCTGGACGGATGGAGTCTCGGATGTCAGAGGTATTCGTGTAATTCTATGGATCTGTCTATATATAAAAAGTACAACATTAACATTTATGCTTACCTCTGTCATAGTATGGTGTGCTAAATGAATGGCCTTGATTTGGTTGCAAGATGTTATCGGGTCTGTCTAGTTATTCATTCTGTCCCCTTTGAAAATTGCAGATTTTCAGAGGCCATGGCCTGGAATATAACCTGTCTGGACTCACGTAAGTCGAAAGGATATTACTTTTTCTTTTGCATTGTTATGCTGACAGTGTACACTGTAAACAACAGATTGATAATGGAGGGAAGGCCTGGAAAAGGAACTGAATGATAGTTTATGTATTAACATTGTGTCAAACATGTACAGGGGGAATACTCTAGATAGCCACAGGCTTATATATTTTGCTGGGCTTCAGGGTCATGAGAAGCAACATGAGCTTGTGGGTGAGCTATTTCTTGGATACTTCACACAGGAAAAATACATTGGGGACAGGTAATTAAGCACTGTTTTAGGTCACTTTTTGATGACCTTTATATCTGTTTACCTTAAGGTTGTGTATAGTGATTTCTTCTCTTGTATAGTTTGCGGCATGTGTTAAATGTAAACCTTCTACTTCTTTTCAAATATCACATGGTATATGAGAGAGTGTGCTTCTGTCTTTTCCTGTAAAACTCACCAGTCAAATGAAAAATGAAAGATTGTCAGCCCACAGTTTGCTGTATCATGTCTCTTCTGAAGTTCTGAAGCATCAAGCATGGTTGTATGTGTTGATCCTATATGTTGAGAATTGGATGCTATATATGTTCCTGATCAGAGTAAACCAATATATGACACTTCCTTACCCCTAAGATGATAAGGTAAAGAAGGGACGTTAAAACATATATTTCCTGAAAATGGTTATGGGTAGTTTTAACTTTTATGGAAGAGCGGCCTAGAATTAAATGCTTTTACATTCTAAAATCTGAATTAAGAGGCACAAATATTTGCAATTTGGATACAGGGAATTTCTTTTGGAAAGTGCTAGAAAGATTGGAGTAGAAGGGGCGGCAGAGTTTCTTGAAGACCCCAACAATGGACTCAATGAGGTCTGTTCACTGATTCCTTTGTGTCACTATTTTTGGCTGAGTGTTTGAAGATTGGAGTTGAACTGTTGAGCTTACTGATTCAAATCATAAGATTCTGTTTTCTTGCGACCAAATTGAGCATTGTGTAGATTTACTGCGCTCCTTTTCCTAAAACTAGAATTTCTACAGTATCTTTGATAGAACTGACCTTGTTCGTTATGTAAAATGAAGGTCAATGAAGAGCTCAAGAAGTACACGAAAGACATAAATGGAGTCCCACATTTTCTGGTGGGTGATGAAAACTCACATTATGAAAATTGAACTTTTGTTTGATTAGCCCAATTAATAGATCCATTACTTATGAATCATTTGACTGTTTTGGCAGATTAATAATGGGAAGCAGGAACTAAGTGGCGGTCAACCGCCTGAGGTGTTCTTGAGAGCTTTTGAAGCAGCCACAAAGTGATGCAGCCTCACATCGAAAAACATTCACTCTCCATCTCCAATAAGAATGCAACCTTAAAAACATATATTGAATGCATATAACTAGTAGTTTTCTTTGTTTTGTGTAATGTAACTAATGTTGAGTGTGAATCTTCTCATGATGTGAGAGTTGTGATATTGTATAGGGTCCAATAGGTGCGAGGGAGTTAAACATATAGTTGGGATTGTTATGACTGTATCCTGGCAATGCCAATAGTTCTGCGGAGTGTAATGTGCATCAATGGGTTTGCTTATATAACTTGTGCAACTCATTCGAATGATCATTTGGATATATATATATATATATATATATATATATATCGTAGACAACGTTATTAAAAAACAATTCTTGAAATTCATCTCACAGTCTTTACTAATGCTATCTCCTTGTTTTATTTTTTCTTTCAACTAATTGTTGAACTTATGGTCTCTGATCCCAATAATAGTTGAGATCCAACAACATTGTCCCCAAAAATAAAGAAAGACATCGAGCAACATTCATGGTCAAGGTTAGATGGGTCGAAACCTACAACAACAAAAAACCCATTCATGGTTAAGGTAGCATTGGAGCCAAGGCTTTGTGGACAGTTTCTGTTTTGACTTTGAGCTACGTGGTAGGCGGTAAAGCCTTCCAAGTGGAAAAGGGGAAAAGAAAAAAAAAACGTTGAAGTCCACAAGGTATCCGTAACCCTCTCTCCTCCAAGTGGCAGGCAGCTTTCACAAATTTATGGACGTGTAAGTAATGACTTGTGAGCAAACTTTCATGAAACAAAAACATACAACTTCAAATCCATCTTTACATTCGTGCCCAAAAAAAAAATTCCATCTTTACATGCACGGTTGGGTTGACATTAAAACAGTTAATATAGATATAAATGTATATATGATTTGATGAATTTGGTGGCTCTTATATATGTCATGGTTGCCATATTGGCAGCAATTGTTTGAGTGCCAATTTCACCATCTAGTTTGAGTGTTAAATATTGTCGGGATACAGTTGCAGATATGGCTGGAATCAAGAAAAAGCTTGTGGAAATTGATATAATTGCAGACACTGTGTGTCCATGGTGCTTTGTGGGCAAAAGAAACCTTGACAAAGCTCTAGTGGAAGGTAATGATCGATACGAGTTTGAGCTCAGATGGCATCCATTTCAAATTGATCCTGAAGTCCCTAAAGAAGGCATTTACAAGAAAGAGTTTTATGATACAAAGATGGGCGCTGATGTAGCTGAAGTGTTTCAGACCCGTATGGCGGATGTATGTAATATATACATAAAACACTTCCCTATCCCTGTTTCATCGTCCCCCTCTTTCTATCTCTCTCCTCATCTGATAGGTGACAGGAGGAGAGAAATAGAGAGATGGGGCAGTGAAACGGGGATGGGGAAGTTTTTCTCCTTGATTTGGTTGCTCGTTTTAAGTGGTATTCATTCTTATGTTTCCTTTTCACAATTTGCAGATCTTTTCAAACCATGACATGACCTATAAGATCGAGGGACTCACGTAAGTGCAGACATTGATTTTTCTTTCTTTCATTTTTCAGGCTGATTGTGTGTTTGCGTGTGTAAACAAACAATTTCACATAGAGGGAAAGCATGGAAACAAGGATTTTTTCGGTGGTGGTCTAATGTGTTAACAAATATTGTGTAAAACATGTGCAGGGGAAATACTATTAAGAGTCACAGGCTTATATATTGAGATATTTAGTAATATACCCATTCTTAGCACTAAAACTATAAATAAACCCTACATCATTTCATTTTTATAAACATACCCAAAAAAAACCCAAAAAATGACAAATTGTACTATTAAATTTAATTTTAATTATTAAATTACTTTGATACCCTATTGAGTGTTTTGGGTTTTTTTATGAAATTTTGGGTTGGGTTTGTTTTAAGAAATCAATGGCAATTTTGTAATTTAAAAGAAGTTAAAAGCTTTTTTGTTATGTTATAAATGGGCTTTGGGTGTATTTATAAATTCCATTTCATATAGGGTTTTTTTATAATTTGGGCTCATATATTGGGTATATTAGTGAATCTCCCATATATATTTTGCTGGGCTACAGGATCATGATAAGCAGCATGATCTAGTGGATGAGATCTGTCTTGGATATTTCACAGATGGGAGATTCATTGGGGACAGGTAAGATTGCATATGGTGATTTATTCTCTTGTTTAGTTTTGTAACATGGGGAGGATTGATTAATCTATTCTTAATTTTCAAGCAATGGCTATGGATGCAAAGATATGTTCTGGGTTAAGTACTTTTACATCCTTAATCTAATTTAAAACTTAAAAGAGGCACAAACATTTGCAATTTGGGTGCAGGGATTATCTTCTGAAATGTGCTGAAAAGATTGAAATAGAAGGGGCAGCAGAGTTTCTTGATGACCCCAACAATGGGCTCACTGAGGTCTGTTCTTCACCAATTCCTTCATGTTCCTATTATTTTCCAGGCCAAGCTATGTTGAAGGACAGCAAAAACCAGATAGAGGATTGTGGAATTTTTGTTATGATCCTTTGGTTCCAAAACAGGCCAAATTAAAACTAGCATCCTGCAACAGTCATTCCTTTCTCAGAAATAAACCAAACCCCAAACTTTCTTCTATATATTTTTGAATGGAACTGACCTCGCTCATTATGATGCAATGAAGGTCAAGGAAGAGCTTAAGAAGTACTCAGAAGTAAAAGGAATCCCATATTTTGTGGTGGGTGATGAAAACTCACTTCTTTTTTTCTTTCCAAATATGGGTTTTGTTTGATTAGCCAAATAGATCCATCACTACTAATCATTTGGTTCTTTTGGCAGATTAATGGAAAGGAAGAATTTGCTGGTGCCCAACCAACTGAGGTCTTCCTAGCTGCTTTTGAAGCAGCTACAAAATGATACAACTTCACATCTTAAAGCATTCACTCCCCAGCTCCAATAAGAATGCAGACCTTGGAAATATTTTTTAAATGCTGAGTAATTTCCTTTTGTTAAACAATTTTGTATGTGGTGTTATTAGAGTGTAATCGGAATCATTGATTAAGTGAAATCATATTTGAATATGCGATCTTGATTCAGAGTCTAGCGACATATTAGATATCCGGCAAGAGAACATTCATCTCGATACAACTATCCCAATGTGTATCACTTCTTATCCTGCTTTTACATATATTGTATGGGCAAATATACAGACATATCTCAATCCTTGTGTTATTGAGACAAATAATTAGGACAATGTTGTTCAGTCTGTCCTTTCTATACGAGATTTATAACGAGATTGATGGGTTCTGAGGGAAGTGAAAAATTAACTATAAATCACTTTTCTACATCACAAAAAGCAATTACTGTTCAGAGAACATAGCAATGCAAGAACCACCACATAAATTTCTTTTCATAGAAAAATTATATGGAATAAAATGAACTTACAACGATGGTCATCAGAAATGAAGTTTATATGTACTATGATCAATGACACTTTTTGACATGTGGTATTCACAATGGCATCACTTCTTTAGTATGCTACCTCTTCAGCTGTTGTTGGCTTCATCAACGACACAAACCTTTCAATCGTGATTAAGTCGTTTCATCGAATACCATCACCTACAAAAGCCAAACAAATAAAATCTGGAGTCAAAATCCACATTGCAGGAAAAAAGAGTCTTGCTTTAAATTAAACTAATCTTCACTTGAATGTAGATCAGAAAAATTATCAAACCATTAATTGTAAAATACCAAACGTGTATAGGACTATAGTAAAGACAAAGGAAGAACTATTCTAATAATAATAATAACAAAATAACACTAATCTAAAATTTCAAAAATATTGGGACATAAAACTAAAAGCTGAGCCTCCCTAAAGATTATCATCACCATAAACGAAATATTAACTAAGAAAACATAACAAGGAAGAGAATTATTGTTACCTTGCCACAAACAGGGCAGCTTTCACTTCTCTCCATCCACTCATATATACAACCAAGGTGAAAATGATGAGAGCATTTTGTCATTATTTTGGGGTTTTCTGGAGTATATTCTGCACACAAGGGCAACGAAAAAAACATGAGAAATCATATTTCAGAAGTTATAAACCATCAGGGTACATTTTCAGAATCATAAACCAATCAAAGTTGCCACAAACGTTACAAATTGACGTAAGTGTTCAAGTCTTATTTCCTAACAAAGCTAGCATTTGGCGTGAATGCTGTATCTCACTACCTGACCCTTCCCTCCTAGCTTCAGGTCCAGTTTACTGAAGGGGCACAATATTTTTGGGGGAGCAAAGCAAAGATAACATGAACAGGACAGTTGATTCAATTCAGCAAACAAACATTTGCAATTAACAGAATGACACCAGGACTGGGTCATCATTCATGTTGAGTAGTGTGAAGTGGAAATGACCATCAGACGCACAAGGTGAGAAAGAAGAAGAAACACCAATAAAAAAAACCCAAATAAAAATACCTTCAAGACATGTTGGACAGACATCCTCGTCTTCTGATGATATATAAAAGTTCCCCACTACAGTTGTAGCTTTTGCTGATGAGAACTTCATTGAGGACTTGGAACGATGTTCTTTTACTCCATCTTCACAAGCAGACCCATTCCATTTTTCTCCTGTACTCAAACATTCAGAATCTGCATCAGTATCACTTCTTAGAGGTTCAGCCTCCTCATGAGAATGACTTGAGCCTTTCTCGCGCCTAGAAATCAACCCATCCCGTTGCAAGCGGATGTATCTGGGGTCAGCATCATAAGGCAAGGGCCTTGGAGGAGAACGATACATGTCAGATATAGAGTTGTCTAGTGATGCTGAGGACATCATCGATGCAGCCCCCTGAATGGATGATGGGATCGAATGCACTTCTCCTCTTCTGAATAATGATGTATACTACAAAATAAGAGAAGATAAAAGGGTTATTCTTCCATCGTAAAGTTTAAGTTTCCACAAATAATATTAAATTGTAATTTATGGAATTAACTCAAATCTCTTGCTGAACTGTTTTACAGGCCAAATCTCTTACTCAAAGCAACTGCATGAACCTTTGCTTCCCAGAAGAATATAACCAAATCACTAACCTTTAAAGGAAGACTCATATGTGCCCACATTCAAAACCCCAATCATGCAAACACTTTTTAAGGTTCCAACAATCAAGCTTAATAATGAAAACTCTTCACTTAAAAAACAAAACAAAACAAAAAAAGAAATTCTTCTCTCTCATTGTCTCACAACCTATATAAGATGCTCTCAGTGAAGACTTACAAGACAATAGCAGATAAGCGAGGGCACAAAAGCAGCACTGTCTCCAGCAAAATTACCAATAATAATGCTCTTTGGCATACAGTTCCATAAGATATTGGTAATGAGGTTGAAAAGAAAATTCAATTTCATACATAAAAGCAATCAGCTTGACAGTGTGACAAGAGGAGTGGAACATCAAGATCATCTAACAAACAGGAAACATAGAATTATGTCCCACATCATAACAACTAATAGTAACGCATTATGCATTCTATATGGCACTTAGGAATTAAAAATGATTTGAAAAAAAAAATTAGTTCAGTAGCAAGGATAATGAAGGCATACCACATTTAGAAAGTTCTCAATAAAGCAACTAAGACAGATACAGTTCCTATATGCAGAACTGTTTGGATTCACATAGTCTTCAAAATCCTCAGCATTCAAACAACAACAAACAGAACCCATTATGTCAGCTTAAAAATAAACCTCCACAACAGTTCCCCACTCTCATCAGCCGAAACCAATCAAGCTCCACTTGTGCATTAAGCAAAAGATCTCTAGGAGCAATTATTGTACTTTGACAAGTACGAGAGAGGACACAAAGCTCGCAGAAGTCCCACTGCCTCCGCGGACCAGTACCCTCCCTCTTTTATCTAACAATGTTGGACGCCTTTGTGGCTCTGATATAACTTAGGGTTATATTCTTCACCTGTGAAATAGAAGACAGTCATGTGTAAGTTTCAAACAACCATATTGACAAGGGAAAAGGCTAATACTCAAGAGAGTTGTCCTCTAAACAGATCTACTAGAACTAAAGCAGAAAACACATGCACACATGCAATGCGTGTCAACTAATTTAATGGTACAGAGAGATCATAGTTTTGAAGCGATTCAATTATCATTGTCATACACCCCGGGAAAGATGCAGGCACCTCACCAGTTGCAGCTGTAATACCATGACTCCTATGGAGTTGAATATGTCTTCAAAATATTAAGAGAAACATGAAAAAACTGAGAAAGTAATTGTGATTATTTAGTTTCACAACAGAGATGTTTTAAGATTCAATTTCCCCTCATCTGTTATAAAAGCTAGTAAATTTAAATTTCCCCTTATTCTCACCTTTCCTCCCCAATGGTGTTGAGGAAGAAAGGCATATCAACCAGCATAAAATCCATAGAAATTACAGATGGTTATCGTAATATGCTACTTTGTTGACAAGCTGCCTAGAGATTGAAGCTCAAGTCAGTCCATTCAAAATTTCCAGAAAATAAAATAACAGAATTGGGAAAGGAAAACATGCAATTATCCAAATTTTAAAGATCAAAAGTAATAGATCAATCTAGAAAAACACAAAATCAATGTAATAAAACAGACCCTTTTGAAAATATCAAATTTTGGATCATCAGAAGGTTCACAAAACAAAGCCCTGTTGCAAATATCAAATTTTGCTACAACCAGAATGTTCAAAGAATAAAACCCATCATCAGCAAAAACAAATAAATAAAATATACCCCTTTGCAGATATCAACTCAATTCTGATGCAATCAGAAGATTCAAAATACTGCAGAAGACCAATAATTCAAACAATCACATGAGAAAAAAGAAAAAGAAAAAGTACCTGAGATAGGTGGGACAAAACTGGAAGGAGAGAGAGATGGAGATTGATCTTGGTGGGTGGACAGAGACAGGGACGCCGAGGAATCGGAAACTGAGTAGAATTTTGGATTGGATGTTTGGATAAATATATGCTTCGAAAATCGGATACTAAATATGGGGGATTTCGAATTTGCAAATTAATTTGAGCTCTTGGATTTTGCGGTGATAAAAGCTATGAATGCGCGGAATTTTAAAGTCACACCTTAATCTTTCTCTTGACAGTGGGTGGAAGAATCTATCCTATTTTAATTCCATAAACAATCGAATTTAACTTTAATGATGATGTCGCAACCTCGACCAAAAAAAAAAGAAGAAAGATGATGTCGCAACCCAATCCCGAACAAAATATAAAATATAAATTCCATACTGATGTTGGTTTTTTATTGGACACACCTTAATTAAGGATGTTAATAATTCTATATTTTTAAAAAGAAATTCTTAATGATATTATTATCATATATCAATTTTTTTTAGTACAAGTCATAGTCTAAACTACAAGGGAGAGTTCTTAGTACAACTATTATATATATACAGAGAACTTCCATTGAGAGATCCCTCAAATAAGCTTATTTGAGGGACACTCTTTGTAGGCCCCACTCCGGATTGTATTTCATTATTCCAAACTGTCTATTTTGTAGATACTCATTCAAAAATCATCTCTACAAAAAATTATTTGAATCTGATATCATTTGACCACTCATTTGAGTTATTGAAATTTTAGTACTTTCTTGAAGCACCGTGTTCATTGATTTTGTAAGACACAATTGGATGTCGAAACGGTTTCCAATTTGTCTAATTTTTTGTAATGATGATCTATGAATGAAGACCTAAAAAATAGATAGTATAGATAGTTTAGATCATTGAGAAAAAAAAATTGTATGGTATGCTAAAGGGCGTCCCTCAAATAAAATTATTTGAGGGATCCCTCAATAGAAGGGGACTGTATATATATATATATATATATATATATTGTCTTGAGAGCGACGCATGATAATGCACTTGCATGATCGAAGACTATAAACTACATTTGCATGATAATGCACTTGTCTATGTTGTGCATGTTTTTCAAGAGGCGAATAGTGTGGCTGACTGTGTTAAATTCAGAAAGATGGGTCATCGGCCCACCACCAACAACACTGATATTGTTCCCAACTTAAATACCTACAAAGCCCAGTAGGTGTGAGGTTTTATTACAAAAGGTCTCGGTGATATTAGTAGTGGAACCATTCATTATTTATTTAATCAAGTTTCCGATGTGGGACTCATTTCTTCAATACGCCCCCTCATGTGGGACCACCACATAATAGGCCACACGTGGAACCAAGTCCACATCGGAATCAATCATTCAAGCCTAACACGTGAGCACCACATATTGGGTAAAAAGACAGGGGTAAACATTCAAGCCCAACATGTGAACACCACATATTGGGATAAAGGTTAAATACCTACAAAGCCCAGTAGGTGTGGGGTTTTATTACAAAAGGTCTCGGTGATATTAGTAGTGGAACCATTCATTATATGTTTTATTTTATTTAATCAAGTTTCCGATGTGAGACTCATTTCTTCAATACGCCCCCTCACGTGGGACCACCACATAATAGGCCACACGTGGAACCAAGTCCACATCGGAATCAATCATTCAAGCCTAACACGTGAGCACCACGTATTGGGTAAAAATACAGGGGTAAACATTCAAGCCCAACATGTGAACACCACATATTGGGATAAAGGTAAATGCCCAATTCAGGCACAATCAATCAACCGTCTTTGATACCATGTTAAATTCAGAGAGATGGGTCATCGGCCCACTACCAACAACACCGATATTGTCCCCAACTTAACCACCTACAAAGCCCAGTAGGTGTGGGATTTTATTACAAAAGGTTTCGGTGTTATTAGTAGTGGAACAATTCATTATATATTAAATTTTATTTAGTCAATTTTCCTATGTGGGACTCAAATTCTTCAAGAGACCGTTTAGCTCACTAAGCTCTGTCCTCTTCTGAAGGTGTTGTTGAGTTTGAATGGATGGAGTCTCCTCTTGTTTGGCTCCTTGATACTCTTATTCAAGATTCTCTATGATCTTGTGGTTTTGCTATATCTTTGGTATGTGTGGTAATTTTTCTTACTCCGTGGTTTTGTCCTTTGGGGTTTTTCCTAAGAATGTTTTAATGAGGCCACATTAGGCATGCATGTGCCGTGTAATCCATTATTCTACTTGAATGCAATTCGATCACTTTCTTTTAAAAAATCTACGAGGAATGAGATTTCTCACACACATACAATTATGATGTCATGATGATTCAAACCTGAGATATCAAATCATCCTTTTTATTAGTTGTGTTAAATCTTGTGTTTAGTTTTATTCTTTCAATATTTCTTGTATAAAAATAAATATAAAAACTTCCCATAATAACCGCATGTGTGAGTTTCTCCCTCTCCTTCTTAATTTTGACAAAAATAAATGTAAAAACTCATCGAAAACCAACGAAAACGACAATGGTATGAAGAATGCTACAGTGCCCATTATGGCAATTTCCCTTTTCAGTAGGGTTGGGGCAATAGTTCTTGATGACCATAGTTGAAACTATTGTGATGGTCTGTAAAAGATCAGATTTGCTTCTCATGTCGGCCTTGTATGGCATTCTTCCTATAATTAGTATGCTGCCGACAGACAGCTTAAAAGGAAGGGAAAAAAAAATATTTTTTAATGCAAAAGATATTAAAGAAAACATAAATTAAAAATTAATTTTAATTACTTGAGCTACAAATTATTACGAAATCTTTAATTTATGTTTTATACAACAAACCCACTGCAAAATTGGTCATATTGCTTCAAAGTTCATAATTATACAAATGATAGTTTCAACCAGAAATATTCACAGGAAATAGAAATGGACAAACACAAAACTACCCCTGACAAGCACCAAACACCAAACACCAAACACCAAACACCAAACTTTTTTTTATTATAAATATTTTCGGTTAAGTGTCAGCTTAATTTATTTATTTCCAAAACTGCACACACAACCGCATGTCGTTTTGAAGCATTAAACCGGTTAACAAATTGCAGTGCCACCCTACTCTTTGTCGTAAATTCGATTTGAATAAACGACAGACTTTTTCTCGTTGCCTTGCTTGCCTCTTAAGGTCAAATTACCGTTGTATTACTTTGCATTGCATTTCTCAATTTGAATATATTTCTTCGCCGGCGACCTCTCAGATCTAGATGTTCCTCTCCACTTTTCGCAATTCGAAACCCTAAATTCTCACACTCGGAGCAGACTCAGTGTCAGTGTTAGGCTTTTGAAGTAGTTTGAGCTCCAATCTCGGTCCGTTAGTGCAGAAATTAGGGTTTTTATTATTCACCGCAGGATGGTGATTTAGTTCCCAAAACTCTTCTTTTTCTGAAGAGACCTAAGAACCTAGATTTTATCCAAAAGAATGCAGGGCTCGTCGCAGAGCTCTGTGGCTCAGCCGGAAGCCATATTGCAATGGCTTCAGAAGGAAATGGGGTACCGGCCCTTGGGTCCGTACAGTGCTGCTAGCAAATCTCAATTGCCCTCAATCGACTCGCTGAGGAAGATTTGCCGGGGGAATATGATACCCATTTGGAATTTCTTGATTACCCGCGTGAAGTCGGAGAATACGGTGAAGAATATTCGGAGGAATATAACGGTTCATGGCGGCGATAGTGGTGCATTGGTAAAATCGGGGAAGGAGGAGGGCTTAAGGAGTAAAGGAGGTAGGAGAAAGGAGAAGCTTGGGGAGGGTTCGAGTGCGGCAGAGACTAGGGAGGCTGCGCTGCAAGAGAGGGACTTGGCGTCAAGGGAAGTGGAGAAGTTGAGGAACATTGTGAAGAGACAAAGGAAGGATTTGAAGGCCAGAATGTTGGAGGTTTCAAGGGCAGAGGCCGAACGGAAGAGGATGCTTGATGAACGCTCTAAAAAAAGGTTTGGGCTTTTGTGGATCATTGGCATAATCCTGAGTATATAATTTAATTCAGTTGAAAACTTGTTTTGTTTTCTTTCTGAAAGAAAGTATGCAAAATTCTTATAAGTGATCATCATCGTTATCAGAAAGACATGAACTATATGACTGGTTTAGAGTGTAGGCGCTATGTTATTCCTCTTTGCAAGGTTTGTTTGAGAATAGTTTCATAAGCTAAAAATGATGTGAAGCATGTTCTGATGAGACTAACACTTGTTCCGAGTCATTCAAGGTGGACTCTATTGATATATGCTTGATCATAACGCAGGCATAAGCAGGTAATGTTGGATGCTTACTATCAACAGTGTGATGAAGCGGAAAAGATATTTGCAGAGTATCATAAACGTCTTCGTTATTATGTTAATCAAGCAAGGGATGCTCAAAGGTCAGGTGTTGATTCATCTCTGGAATTGGTTAACAGCTTTAGTTCAAGCAGTGAAAAGGAAGCTGTTTATTCAACTCTTAAGGGCAGTAAAGCAGCAGATGATGTACTTCTTATTGAAACCACTCGGGAAAGAAACATCCGGAAGGCCTGTGAATCTCTTGCAGCACATATGATTGAAAAGATTCGCAATTCTTTTCCTGCATATGAAGGAAGTGGTGTTCATTTGAATCCTCAATTAGAAACAGCCAAGTTAGGCTTTTATTTTGATGGGGAATTACCTGATGAGGTTAGAGCTGCGATTGTGAATGGGTTAAAGAGTCCTCCTCAATTGCTTCAGGCAATTACTTCATACACATCACGGTTGAAATCTCTAATTTCCAGAGAAATAGAGAAAATTGATGTTAGAGCTGATGCAGAAACTTTAAGGTAAACACTTTCTTGTCACTTTCTTATGTGCTGTCAATGTTTCCCTAAGCTTCTACAGACAAGGCTATTCAACTACGATATTCCTTCTTGGTTTTTTAATTTAATATTTCCTGAGTCAATACTTGTGGATAATATGGTCTCCCCTCCCTCTCTTATCAGGAATACTTGCAGTGCTTGATTAAATAATAATTGCATGTTGTATTTTCAAATTCGATCATTCTTGTATTTGAATTCTCGTATCTTCTCCATATCCTTGACTCACGTTTCTTCAATTCCTTAATCAGGTACAAGTATGAGAACAACCGAGTTATCGATGTTTCTTCTCCTGATGTGAGTTCACCGTTACACTATCAACTTTATGGTAATGGAAAGATAGGAGTTGATGCACCTTCTAGAGGAACTCAACTTCTTGAACGACAGGTTATGTTCTTTTCTAGATAGTAGCCTTTACATTGATTTTTAATTATGATCTAGTCACTTATGCCATTCATCTTAATATTCTCATTTTTTCACTACATGGATATCATTACTCTTGCTTTTGCTTTAATGTGTTTTCCCCTATAAAGAATAGTCGGCCAAAACCCTAATTCCATTAAGACCATTCTTTTTTTATACTGAAGCATAGATTTTTTGGTCAATAAACAAAATCATAGTTGGGTTCTATTTTCACCCTACATTTTCTGCTTTTGTTTTGTCTTACGAATCATGCATTGTTTCAGGAGTTTAAAATTGTTATTTTGCATATGTTGTTCACAGAAAGCACATGTTCAGCAATTTTTGGCTACTGAAGATGCACTGAACAAAGCTGCAGAAGCTAGGGATCTGTGTCAAAAACTTATAAAACGCTTGCATGGAAATAGTGACGCAGTTTCTTCAGGCACATCACAGAATGTGGGCAGTCTTAGGCAACTTGAGGTAAATCTTTCTTGGATATTAAATGGCTAAATTAGCAATACTTTAGGTGCAAATAGTGCCAATGGTGAGAGGTGTGATTAGTTTCAGTATTTTGATCCTTGTTGATTTGAATGTCATAAAAAGTCATTTGGGTACTCTATGGTAGCTTATTTCTGGTCTGTAGTTAATTATCATTTGGTGTGTTGTTTTTACTATTCTTCCCTATTATTTGTGTAGCTGGAGGTTTGGACCAAGGAAAGAGAAGTTGCTGGCTTGAGGGCTAGCTTGAATACGCTGATGTCTGAAATACAACGCTTGAATAAATTATGTGCAGAAAGGAAAGAAGCTGAAGATTCATTGAAAAAGAAGTGGAAAAAGATTGAAGAATTTGATTCCCGCAGATCGGAACTTGAAATCATATACAGTGCTCTACTAAAAGTAAACATGGTAAGCTATCTCAGCTTCATTAATGCCTGTAAAGCTGCAAGTCACTTCATATAATGGTACTGTATTGGCCATTTCTGGTCATTCCATGAAATTGTCGGCTCATTCTGTTTTGAGTTCCATATGAAAGTTCACCCAAACAAGTTGGACTTTATTTTTTATTTAATAAAATTTCAGTATCCACTTTTGTGCCATATTTATCATGATGCCCAAAGACCCTATTTATGCCTATAGGTCTGGGCTTTTAGCTCACCATTGGGCACTTCAATTTCCTTGGAACTGATACACAAATGATATCACCAGTGGCATAGTCTTCAGTTGGTATTCATGTATACTTCAATAAAGGCAGCTAGTATTCATGTATACTTCAATAAAGGCAGCTAGTATACTATTTCTCCATCTCCTTTCGTCGTAGATACTTTCTAATATTATATTGTCAACTTGGCAGGATGCTGCTGTGTTCTGGAATCAGCAGCCATTAGCCGCACGGGAGTATGCATCAACCACTATTATTCCAGCATGCACAATAGTTATGGATCTTTCAAATAGTGCAAAAGATCTTATTGAAAGAGAAGTTTCTGTTTTTGATCAAAGTCCTGATAATAGCCTCTACATGCTTCCAGCAACTCCACAGGTTTGTCTACTACAATTTGTGGCTTTATCGTTATTAAATATTCTTGGTTATTGATTGTTCTACTGATCAATATGTTTGGTTCTAAAAAAAAAGTAAAATTTAATAAATCTGTTTCTTTCCATTATCAAGTTTTCATTAGTTAATTTGACTATGATATTCAACAAATATGACTGCTGTAATATGTTTAAGGCCTTGGTTATTCAGAAGTTTTTCTGATTGTTCTTTGGCTTGAAAATACATTATATCTTTTCTTGTTCACCTTCTGGATCTGTTTTCTGGACACTGTATGGTGGGAAAAGGCATTGGAACATGGGGGGTGGGGGGGGGGGGGGGGGGGGGGGGGGGGGGTGGGGTGGGGGGGGGGGAGAGAGAGATATTGAAGTTTGAATGTCAAGCTTGGGTTTGCCCCAAAAGAAGTAAAAAGAAACCTACACTATATTTCGAATTGTATACTCATAAAGGAAAACAAATTAAGAGGTGCTTTATGTTGAGTAGAACTGGACTAGTCTGGTGGTAAAGTAGGATTAGACCACCAGGGAAATACTGCTTTCACTGGGGAGCTACCTAAGTACCCTTGATTTTGTTATCCCATTTGCACTCCTGTGTATATAACTGTTAATGAATTTTTTATCAGGCACTACTGGAGTCCATGGGTGCAAGTGGGTCTACTGGACCTGAAGCTGTTGCTGCTGCAGAAAAGAATGCTGCTATATTAACTGCAAAAGCAGGTGCCAGGGATCCATCAGCAATACCATCCATATGTCGAATATCTGCTGCCCTTCAGTATCCTGCTGGTGAGTCTTCGTTCATCTGGTACAACATTAGAAGCATGTGTAAGATTAGATGCCACTGCCTCTATTTGAGGCTTGGTTTTGGAAGAACTACATCCTCTCCATTTGGCCAGTTTCTGCTAGAAAGCTTCTCTCTATTGGCAACAGAAGATCTCTTTTGCCTTCATTTTTCAGTTGTGTATGTAATGGTTTGTCAATTACACTTACAAGAAAAACAAAAAACGTCAGTATAGCAATCAATTGGAGAAGTCCACTGAAGGGTTAGATTTTCTGCTGGGGTGGAGATGCTGTTACATGATGGCCTGGAAGATTTTTGTTCTGTTTAATTTTAATCCCAAGTAGGACACTGAAAATTGATCTCTCTTCCCTGTGGTGGGTGAAAATAGCGCTTCATGATAAGAAATCATCTTTAGTAGCCACTCTTTCCTGGTATGAAGGAGTTTGCGTTTGAGAATGAAAATAGAACTCTAATTAAATTGGCGTCTCATGAATCATGAAATCGTGTTCTCTCATTATCTATACATGTCACTTGTAACTCTATAATGTAAAGCTATCAGTTTGTCTTTCGACATTTGCTTCTTAATTTCAAGTTTGTGTAGCTTGAGTTTAACAATATGCGTTTTTTTCATATGGTATTTTTTATTATCCCATTGTTTACTTTTGGATTATGTGGATGCCATTTTGTGCCTGCTTAATGGGTGTTTTCAATTCTTTTTTTATATCTTATTTAACACGAACAGGTTTGGAGGGTTCAGATACTGCTTTAGCATCAATCCTAGAGTCCCTGGAGTTCTGCTTGAAACTTCGTGGTTCTGAGGCTAGTGTGTTGGAGGACTTAGCAAAGGCAATCAATTTGGTCCATACACGGCAGGATCTTGTTGAAAGTGGTCATGTGTTGTTGAACCATGCGTATAGAGCTCAACAAGAATATGAAAGGTATAACTTCTCTTGGCCTTGTTTTAACAGGAATCTAGATTATGTAATCCTCCAAACTCCAAAGTTTCAGTAAGTAGACCTCAGTCAAACAATATGAACTGGAATTCCATTTTGAGCAAGAGATGAGGAAAATTCCAGTTTCTGTGTCCGATGGGTAACTGACAAAGTTTCTTTGACTACAGAACCATGCCTTTCAATTGGAGCGATTTTTTCATTTTTCTTTTGAGATTCATATGTTTTGTTGGGGTAGATGTTACGATTTTTTTTTAAAATCCAAATTCTAAATACATTTACTTTTTTTTTTCTTTCTTCTAATCTCCTGCCAATACTCAAGCCTCTCATAGCTCTGCTACTTTCTGTTTTTAAATGTTAATGTTCGTAATGAATGTGCTTTTCTTAATTTTTATTTACTCCTTGCAGGACAACAAGTTATTGTTTAAATTTGGCTGCGGAGCAAGAGAAAACTGTCATGGAGAAATGGTTGCCCGAACTTAAGGTTGCAATTTTGAGTGCTCAGAAATGCTTGGAGGATTGCAACCATGTTAGGGGATTGGTGAGTAACCACCATCATCTTTCTACTTTAGCTTTATAAATTCTTAATAGTTTTGTTTTGCTTTTGCGCTCTTTAATTGTCTGAACTGCAATATGTTTCTGCAGCTTGATGAATGGTGGGAGCAACCAGCAGCAACTGTTGTTGACTGGGTCCTAGTTGATGGATTAAATGTTGCTGCTTGGCATAATCATGTGAAGCAGCTCCTTGCATTTTATGATCAAGAGCACTTGTGAATATTATTCGAGTACTCAGCAAGCAAGATTTTCTTGGGATCTCCCTGGTTTTCCCATGTCATTTGCCACTTCAATGACCATATAAATAACCAACATAACTGGCAGGCAATACGCGTACGGGGTACAGTTAGCAAATGGAAGCATATACTGAGGATAGCACTTCTATATTACGGTTTGAGGAGGATCTGGTCCTGATTTTAGTTGCTTTTAAGTTTGTTATACTGGAAGACCAGATTTTTTTAACTTTTCCAAATCACTTTTTGTACAGAATAGCAAGGATGTGTTGTATCATAAACTTTGTAGCTTGGTTTTTTGGTGGGTATTCCCTCGAGGATTGATTGATCCCGGAAAATGGAAGAGTGATTTGAACTGTAGAGATTTCATTTGTAGTCCGAATGTGACTTGGTCTTATTGAATGAAAGGGCAGCTTGATGACGAGCATCGTTGATAGTTCTTTCTGTTTTTTTTTTCTCATACAGATGCATATGCAGAAGGTGCTTGTGATTATTTTGCATTATTTCTTCGAATTTGCAACTGATCTCTCAATATATTTTGCGCTGTATCACATTGTTTTGTTCTGCAAATGGTGCCACTCCAGTCCAGTATGCATACTTGCAGTTGGGTTTAATCTATTGTTTGGTACTATTATTATGCTGTTCTAGAAACCAATAATTGCATGGACAGATGACTCATCAAGTACTTTCTTTCTCCATATGAGCATGCAGACTAGAATAAGTACAAACTCAGATGGAAGAACAAACAGAAATATCACATGCTGATGACTACATTATATGAAAATTGCTGATGTACATTATACATTCAATGTGAACAAAATGTTTCCTGCATGAATGAGGTGTAATAAAAATGTTGTTTACAAATATACTTTTATGACATGTAATATACCCACAACAAAGCTATGCACCCGTCACAAGTATATATCATCCTCATATTTATGTAAGTCACATATGAGACTTTACACTTAAGGGTGGGAACGATCTGGATTGAATCGGTTTCATCTCAAAATCACAGTTGAACCAATTACAATATAACAGTTTGGTTTGGTTTGATTTTGACAAAAGTCATGAAGAAAATTAAAGCAAACCACCAATTTATGACGGTTTGGTTCGGCCGGTTTGGGCCTAAGCCCAAATCTCTTTCTTTTTGCATTTTTTCAATATTGTTAGCCCAATTACAGTCAAGAAATTCACAACTTGCTCCATATTTAAATCATTTTCTAGAGTATGAAACCGTCCTAAAGCTCAACATGGCATAAAACTTCAAATTTCAATAACTAATATAGCTCAATTCACATGTAATCATAATGCTCATATGGAGAAAGAAAGTACTTAATGGATAAATGACATAAAACATCAAACTTTAATAACTAATATAACAAATTTCAATAACTATATAGGTATTACCTAATTAGAGTATTACACATGTAAAATATAATTAAATAAATGTAAACATAAACAATCCGATTTGGTTTAAGTTGGTTTACAAAAGTTCGAAACCAAACCAAATCAAACTATATATGATCTGGTTTGATTTTTAAAAAATTAATTTTTTCTTAAAAAAAAATATAAACCAATAATTACAATTTGATTCAATTGGTTTTATCAGTTCGGCTGGATTGATGCACACCTTACAGTCAATGAATACACCTAACACTAAACCAAAGTCTAGTTCATCGGCTAAAATCTTAACGTTTGAGTCGGCATCCTTGTTTGGGATAGTTTACTTATCCAAACTATGGATTATTATTGTTTCAATAATAATGGACCAGACATCAAAGATAAAATCTAATCGACAATGTTATCTTATGTTTCAAGCTTGGCATATCCATTTGGGAATTTCAATGCCATAAAATTTCAAATTTTATTAAATAATATAGCTCAATTTACATGTAATCATAATGCTTATACAAAGAAAGAAAGTACTTGATGGACAGATGACATAAAACTTCAAATTTCAGTAACTAATATAACAAATTTCAATAACTATATAGGTATTACCTAATTAGAGTATTACACGTGTAAAATATAAGTAAATAAATATACACATAAACAGTTCAATTTGGTTTAGGTCAGTTTACAAAAGTTCAAAACTAAACCAAATCAAACCATATACGATTCAGTTTGATTTTATTTAACTTTTTCTTGATCAAAACAAAACCAAATTGCTAGTTGATTCAGTCGGTTTTATCAATTCGGCTAGATTGATGCCCACCTTACACTCAATGGATACACCTAACACTAAACCAAAGTCTAGTTCATCGGCTACAATCTTAACGATTGAGTGAGCAACCTTGTTTGGGATAGTTTATCTATCTAAACTATGGATTATTATTGTTTCAATAATATAACGGACCAAACATCAAAGATAAAATCTAATAAACAATGTTATCTTATGTTTCAAGCTTGGCATATCCATTGGGGAATTTCAATGCCATAAAACTTCAAATTTTATTAACTAATATTGCTCAATTCATATGTAATCATAACGCTCATATGGAGAAGGAAAGTACTTGATGGACAGATGACATAAAACTTCAAATTTCAATAATTATAAGGTATTACCTAATTAGAGTATTACACATGTAAAATCTAAGTAAATAAATATATACATAAACAGTCCGGTTTGGTTTAGGTCGGTTTATAAAAGTTCAAAATCAAACCATATACGATTTGGTTTGATTTTTAAACCATTTAACTTTTTCTTAATTAAAACTAAACCGATAATTACAGTTTGATTTAGTCGATTTCATCAGTTCGGCCAAATTAATGTCCACCTCACACTCGAGAGATGCACCTAACACTAAACCAAAGTCTAATTCATCGGCTACAGTCTTAACGTTTGAGTCGGCAACCTTGTTTGGGATAGTTTACCTATCTAAACTAAGGATTATTATTGTTTCAATAATAATGGACCAGATATCAAAGAAAAAATCTAATAAACAATGTTATCTTATGTTTCAAGCTTTGGGAATTGGTATCCATCAGCTGGCAAACTCCACTATAGAACGTTCAACAAGCAGCCATGAAAGTCCTGTCGACACTCGTCAGGCTTAAGCTCGCCCGTGAAGTGTAGACATGACAGGTCTTTTGGAACCCTAAACCCTAGGGCAAACCCTACATCATAGAATTCGAAAAAACAATCATTTTTTTTTAACTTTTAACATGCATTTACCTCTTGCACTGCGTAAAAGAAAATTTGATAACCTTGGACAGTCAGTAACCGCCTTATTAGATTGTCAAATTTGTCAAAAATTGTGGCCCACGGGTGTAAGTTTGTGGGATTGCCTTGGTCACAAGGTAATCAATTAGTGAAGGCAATTTGTGGGATTGCCTTGGTCACAAGGTAATCAATTAGTGAAGGCAATCTGTCAAGATCTAATTATCATAATCTGGAGTTTGTGCCTTTGTTTTGTGGTGTGACTGGTGTATCTTTTGTCAGTAGAAGTTTTTTTTTTCTCTTTTTCACCCAAGATGCTATGCAGTTGGACATTAAAAACTGTTGAAAATTGAATTAAAGAAAGAAAGGGGAAAAAAAAACAGACTGTTGGGATGAAAGGATATATACATTGCTGCAAAAGGAATCTGGATGCAACATCAACACATGTGAGTGTCTTATCTTATGAGCGTACAGAGTACAGAGATTCCTTAGTTGGCTGGAAAGTGCTCAAATACTTGGAAGTTGTTGCTTCTTTTGTTTCAAGTTTGGATCATTGGATGCATATGCTTGTCCATTTTCTGCTAAAATACGTCTTCCAAATTCCAAATAATCAAATCCCAAGATCATTGTTCTATGTAGGTTGGTACTTTTTGAACCAAAAGCATTATCATAGCTCCCAATTTTCACTGATGAATTATTGAATGTTCATCTGTTTGCTGATGAGATAATGCAAGTTTTCTAGACTGTCAATAACTGAGGAAAAGACTCTTTGGTTGCAGTCACATGACTCTTTAATTTGGCCGGAATTACTTTACCTATTTATGGACGCCCTGCACAAAAAGACTTGTTTTGTAAGAAAATTTAAAGCAAATTGTAATTAATGAATCTAACGATTCAGGGGAGTGTCCTCGTAGAAGTAGAAGGCCTCCATGAGATTTGGAGGTCTCACATTGCTATTACTTTAACACAAGCCTTATCAATAGGGTTAATTTCAATTTAGTACTCTGAACTCTAATCCTAAAGGCACGTTTAACCATGCACTCTTAATTTTAACAATTACATACCCTAAGTTTTTCAATTTTTTGCAATCTAAATCCGTCGTTAACTTCCCCGTCAAAATTTCAGTTAATTGCTTGCGTGGCAAGCTTGGGTTCCACCTATTCACTCATTTGAGCGTCAGTTGAAGGGTATTTTTGGGTATTTGTTCAAAAATGGTTTGGTATTAATGCATGTATTCTTCATGGGCGGGAAGACACCAATTACCTGAAAACACTCTTCAACTGACATCGAAATAAACGAATAGGTGAGACTCATGCCTGCCATGCAAGCAATTAACGGAAATTTTGATAGCGAAGTTAACGTCAGAACCATATTGCAAAATTCAAAAGCTTAGGGTATGTAATCATTAAAATTGAGAGTGTAGGAACAAACATACCTTAAAGGTAAAAGTTTAGGATACTAAATTAAAATCAACCCTTATTAGGGTATTAATATGCCACATTAGGTCTTGAGAAGATGCCATGCTCTCAAACAACATAATATTCTGACACTATGGAAAGTTGTAAACTTTGTTTGGGGCTTGGGAGTTTTTCAATTTTCACATATATATATGTTTCTATATGACCAAAAAAAATCCGTTTCTAACAAAAAAGTAAATCTATTTTTCAATTGCCTTTGCTAAGCATCATTTTAGGGGTCAAATCTTATTAAATGACTCAGTTTTATTTTGAAGTAAATCTATTCTTCACGCTAAAAACTCGACGCCTCACCTCGTTCTTAAGCGTCAATCGGATAGCCAGAAAGGCCATACCATCAAGTTCATCTCATTCCTTTTGTTCCATGCCTTTAGGTTTCTTCCCAAATAAAGAAACTCATAGTTTCGTGAGCTTGTGTGATTTTCATGGATGGCCTTCGAGCCACTCTCAGTACATGTTCTTCTTTGCTATCTATCTACTTCACCCTCTTAACGTATAAAGGGATTGGACTCTGGGACACAAAGAACAAGTTGGCAGTGAATTTTTTGCCTTGGGCTTTGGCTGTGCTCACCATGTATTCGAGGGCGTATTTGGGTTACCATACTATGTATTTGGCTGTTCTTGTTTTATTTATTTATTGGTTTTTAATATTTATGTTTAAAAGGAATGAATTTTTTAATAATTTGTAGACCAAATTGCCCCTCCACAAATATCAGAAGTTGAGAATTGTCCTTGAATTGCTTCAAATTGAAACCACATTGGCAAAAGTGATCAAATTGAAACCACAAATATCTTAGTGGTGAAGTGATAAACCACAAAGACCAAAAGTGACTTTTTGCCGATCTAAAACCAAAAAGAAAACCAAATGAAAGGAAACACATCCTTTTCCTAGTTGAATTGTATCTCCACAACTCAACACCACCAACAAAGAAACAAACTCAATAAATGTAAGTAAACAGAGAACCAGCAAAGCAAATATTTCTTCTTATCTACCTCTCCATCACAATATTAACCTTCTTTTTGGATTGTTTGGTGGTAGGATATGAACCTACATTCACTTCTTCTAGTTTGCGGTTGACTGGCTTTTGCATGGGAGAGATAAAGTTATAGTGAATACTGAAAGGGTATAGTGAATACTGTAGAGAGTATTTATATTCGTTATAAGCCTCAGCAATTTATATAAAAGGCAGCCTAGATCAACTCATTCTCAGAGTCAAGAATATTAGAGTTGCTCAGAGGCAATAGAGGCTCTAACATGTCTTGGTTTTTCACACTACTCTTTTTGATCAGTTCTCTCTCATTGACTACTCCCTCAGAAGCTAGCCATGAGAAGAAGCCCCCATCTGCAGTTGTTGTAGGCACTGTCTACTGCGACACATGTTTCCAAGCAGAATTCTCACATGCCAGCCACTTCATTTCAGGTTCCTTTCAAATTTCCTACAACAACTCAATCAAAAGTGCTTTTTATATTGTGAATTTTGGGTTCAGTTAACATAATTTCAACTTATTTTTCTGCAGGGGCTTCTGTTGGTGTAGAATGCAAAGATGGGAGCTCAAAACCAAGTTTCCAGGCAGAAGTGAAAACAGATAGCCATGGAGTGTTCAGAGTCCATTTGCCTTTCTCTGTGAGCAAGCGTGTCAAGAAAATTGAAGGGTGTTCTGTGAAATTAATCAGCAGCAGTGAACCATATTGTGCTGTGGCCTCAACAACCACTTCATCTTCACTGCATCTCAAGTCAAGTGAGCAAGGAACACACATATTCTCAGCTGGTTTCTTCAGCTTCAAGCCTCTAAAGCAGCCAAGCCTCTGTAACCAAAAACCAAGCATTCCAAACTCCAAGGAATTCAGTTCTCAGAAATCCTCATTTCCAGGAATTTCAGTTACATCCCCCTTTCCTGGTAAAACTACGAAGGCAGGGCAACTAGCTGATAAAAAATTATTAGGACTTCCGGGACTGCCAGGACTTCCAGGACTTCCTGGACTTCCGGGACTGCCAGGACTTCCGGGACTTCCAGGACTCCCAGGACTTCCTGTTAAAACTACAGAGGCAGGGCAACTAAATGATAAAAAAGTAGCTCACCCAGATACTTCCTTCACAACACCCTTTACTGGTAAAAATACAAAGGGAGGGCAACTAACTGATAAAAAATTATTAGGACTTCCGGGACTGCCAGGACTTCCAGGACTTCCGGGACTGCCAGGACTTCCAGGACTCCCAGGACTTCCTGGACTTCCGGGACTGCCAGGACTTCCAGGACTTCCTGTTAAAACTACAAAGGCAGGGCAACTAAATGATAAAAAAGTAGCTCACCCAGATACTTCCTTCACAACACCACAAATTCCAAAAACAAGTTTGCCTCCAAATCCATCACCACCAACATCTCGCATCCCTGGAATCCCACGGGCTTCTTCAAAGCAAACTACTTCTCCATGATATTAAACTGAAATCATTAACTAAATAAATCATGTTAAGTTTGTATGGGGTGTGCAATTATCAGAAGCATATGTAGTAGGGCTTGTAAGTTTGTACTTTGTAAGGAGTATGTAAGTTATTGTACTTGGAATAAAGCTATGGTTCTCTCATCATCTGACAGAATTCATTTACTTCGTAAAAATCCCAATATATTCTGAGATTTTGTGCCACTGTTTGCATTAATTATGAACTCCCTCTGTAGAATTATACCTGAATTGCTGAATTTGGAGCTGCATTTCAACATTGTCCAATCAAAAAGACCCTTTGAGAAGAAAAAGAAAAAATTGCCTCTTCATGCTAAAATTGAATTGTTCTTCTTAGACCAGTTTGCTTGGGAAACATAAGTCGATGAAAATGGAAATTTTAGCACTTAAACTGCACCAATTTGGGCAGAAATTGAAACCCAAAAAGCAAAAACAAAAACAAAAAATGCATCATAACTACAATTCAACATGAAATTAAGGACCTGTTTAGTATTCAACTTGAATCCAACTTTTTAAACTCAAAAACAAAATTTGAGTCCAAAATAAAGAAAACCTGTTTAGTAGCCCTATTTTTAAAAACTCAAACTCAAGAACAACTAAAAAACACCCCAATTATTACAAAATAAAAAATATCTGTTTTTTCAGTTTTTTTCTAACCCACAAGTTCCCAAATTTTTAAGATTTGAAAATAGTTTTCAAGTTGCATACAAAACAAGTTTTTGAATCTTAAAAATAGATTTAAGAACTCCTTGTTTTTAAGAAAAATCAAAGTTTTTGAGTTCCCTATTGGAATAGGATACCAAACGCGCCCTAAACAACTTTTGAGACCCAAAAAAGAAAGAAGAAGAAATTATAAACAACTTTCAGGTTCTGATTATTTCCTGAATCCTAATCTTTTGCTATACATGCCCTCATATACACGTATGCAAAATCTCAGCAGATGCATAACTAAACATCACCTAACCTCCCTCTTTGTTTTTTCAATTCTGGTTCTGCTAGAGCCACCTCCACCATTTCTTGCACTTTCGAGCTGCTGCTGCTGAGAGTTTGACTGCTCAGAAGCGCTAGGGTTCCACATGTCCCTGTAGTAAAACAGGGCTGCCCTCTGCGAACTGTTGGCAGAAGCTACTGGTTGGGCGCCCCTGCTGTTGAGCCTGTCCTTCTGCAAAACACACACACAGTTAAGACTTGTACATCAGCACCGCTAAATCATCAACCTCAAATAGCAAATGCGCATAAAATTAGTGCTTAAATAATTAATATGAGAGCACAAATTAAATTGCACGTGAAATAAATGAGTGGCTTCAACTTTCAACTTCCATTCATAAATATGAGCAGGGAAAGAACTTTGTTTGGGAACTGGGCCTAAATGACCCAGTTGATTTGTTTGCAGTCACAGTGTTTCGTGAGGCCTGTTAAGCTTTGTTGGTCCCTTTTGTAATGTTCTAAAGGTGTTGGGTGCTGCACCATAATTCGGAGTTTCTTGAGCTCATATATATTTAGCAAAATATATTGCACTCATTAAGCTTAGCATCATCCAAAAAAAAAAAAAAAAAAAAAAAAAAAAAAAAAAAAAGGATTAGGATTCAGATCATTCAGCATATACCTATAGCACTTGGACCAAATATATTATTGTTGTGTTTGTGTTCACCCGCTTTCTTAACGAGTTGATATGAACACGACCAGTTAAGTTAACAGGTGGAAAATATCAAACATTGACACGACCCGTTTAAATTCGTGAATGACCAACACAACCCGTTAGCGAATATTCGCGAATGATATTGACATGACCCATCAACTTAATGGGTGGCTAACGGGTTCAAGCTAAATCCAAATATTGATTTTTTCGTGCGAATTCGTGTCGTGTTAGCAAATCGTAGATAATATTTCCAGGTCAAGCAGAGAAGATGATCAGGATGGGGCATATATAGATACTATGACAATACTCTCATGCGCACATGACAAATTTTATCATAAGATCATTGTTCCATTAAGTAATAATCTAATCACCAAAATATTTCATGAGCCTGAGAAAATGTGCATAAATTGCAAATGGGAGGATATTCAATAAAGATATCACAATAAAATGATATGGGGACTAAATCTCTCATGCGCATGAGAAAAATCCCCTGTATATAATTTTAACATTGGAAGATATACTATTAAGTTATCACAACTACTAAAATGACCTATGTGAGAAAAAAAAACCTTGTATGTAACTTGAGCAATGAAAGATCTACTATTAAGATATTATTGCCACTAAAATGATCCAATGAGTAGACTTTCTCATGCACTTGAGAAAGATCCCCTGTATATGTTGAGGACAAATACCCCTCGGAGTGTCAAAACGAAAAAGCATAATGGCATCATAAATGCCATGCTTTTCCCAAAGCTCCGGATACTGGCTATGAAGATCGCCAATCCACTCAAACCATTGCACTAGACTGTTCTTTATGGACCAAGTGTTGAAGTCTAGACCCTCAGCTGAATTGTACCAGCGTTGGACCATCATCAGCAACTTTACCCAATTATGCACAAATGTCTTGGGCATGCATAGTAGCATCTTTTTCAGAGATAGGCTTTGGGACGTTGGAGTCAGAGGTGGCCATTGAGACAAAGAAATGGATTCTAAAACGAGAATTGGTTAGAGGGTGGTGAATCTTGAGACTTTCGGTAACAAAAGTTCGGAAAAGTTGAAGGTAACGATATTCACTAAGAATCTCTGAGCAAATTAGGCTTCGTAGTGAGAAGATGGAAAGGTTCGAAAGATTAAAGTAGAAGTCGAAATAGCGTGATTGAAGTGATTGAAATAAAGACGACGCATTTATGTTGCAGGTAACGGTCAAATCGTGTCATGCACATGCATGTAACCCCAAATTCCTCTAATCGAGTCTATTGGGCTTCTCGAAGGGCTATATCTTTCTTGATAATTGCTCTACCGGATCTGTCTCTGGTATCGATTACCAATTGATCTTCATCAATTGAAGGTGATGTTCTTGTTAGCAGTGTAGATTCCGATATACTATTGCTATTGCCACTAGACCCTTAACCTCTGAATTCAATCAGAAGTGATCCAAGGTAGTGGCAATTCATTATCTGATAAGATCCCTTGATCTGGATCCCTTTTGTTTACTTGTTTATTTGTCGTTTATTACCCTTATTGTTTTAGAGAATTTATAAAGTCGTCATTTGTCTTGAGGCATAAAAAAGAAACTTCATTGATTTAGTTTACCATTTCAATTCACAATCATTTGATTTAAGTGAGTTTTCTTGGTGCGCAAGTTACTCAATTCTGTTTCAAGTCTATTAGGGTTTTACGCCACTAATAGTGGCACGTTCACAATGCACACAATCTAAAGCCTATCTTTGAGGTTTGAACATTTTTAGGGTAAACGCACATATGCTTGTCCATTTTCTGCTAAATGTAAGTCTCTCAAATTCCAAATAATCAAATCCCAAAATCATTGTTGTAGTGTATTGGTAGGTATTTTTTTTTTTTTTTTTTTTTTTTTTTTTTTTTTTTTTTTTTTTTTTTTTTTCACCATTATCCATAGCAGTCAATTTTCACTGATGCATTATTGAATATACATTGTTTTATTGTTTTCCCAGCTGTGCTCAAATTACTCATAATTACTGATAGTGGTGATTCAAGGTTCTAAACTTTGTGCCAAATAACTGAGGAAAAGGCTCTTTGGTTGTAATCACATGACAGTTTTAATTTGTCCGGAATTACTTTACCTATTTATGGACTACCTGTACAAAAAGTCTTGTTTTTTATGCAGTTAAAAACAGTTAGAAATTTTAGAGCAAATTGCAATAGATGAATCTAATGATTCAGGGGTTGCTTTATGCTCATAGAAGTAGAAAACCTCCATGAGATTTGGAGGTCTTACATTGCTATTATTTTAATCCAAGCAAAAAAAACCCTATTAATATGCCGCATTAGGTCACGAGAAGATCCCATGCGCTCTGCTCCAACCACATATTCTGACACCATGGAAAGTTGTAAACTTTGTTTCGGACTCGGGAGTTTTTCAATTTTCACAGTTTATACGGTCCCCTTCTGTTGAGGGATTTCTCAAATAATTTTATTTGAGGGACACCCATTAGGGTTCTCTGCGAAAAAAATTTTGACGATCCAAACGATCTATTTTTCACATCTTCATTCAGAGATCATCCTTTCAAAAAATCATGCAAATTGAAAATCATTAAGACATCTAATTGAGACCAACAAAATCAATTAACACGGTGCTTTAAGAAAGTACTTAAATTTCAATAATTGAATTGAGTGGTCAAATGATATCGGATTCAAGTGATTTTTTTATATAGATTATATATATTTGTACTTCTAACCAATATAATAGGCGCCCATCATTTTGGTTCTGTGTGAAGCACATACATAAATAAACACAACATCTTCAACCTGTGTTGTTGATAGTGTACAGCTTCAGACTCATGAAATTTGTGGTTACTCCACTTGTCTTGTGAACCAACTATTCTCTTTAGTATTTACGCCAACAAAGAAACAAACTCAATAAATTTAAGTAGACAAATAACCAGCAAAGCAAAAATTAAGGGGCCTCTTTTTATCTACCTCACAGTCACAATCACAATATTTACCTTATTTTTGGATTGTTTGGTGGTAGGAAATGAACCTACATTCACTTCTTCTAGTTTGCAGTTGACTGGTTTTTGCATGAGTGAAATAAAGAAACTATTGATGGGCAAGGCTATAAAATTTGAAAGAAAAAAAAAAACCAAAAGTTCATTTCTCATTCCTCAAAACAACCAGAAAGAAACAAAATTATAATGAATGCTGTGGAGAATATTTATATTAGTTTTTAGTTATAAGCCTCAGCAATTGATATAAAAGGCAACCTACCTCAACTCATTCTTAGAGTTAGAGTTGCTCAGAGGCAATAGAAGCTTTAAAATGTCTTGGTTTTTTACAGTACTCTTTTTTATCAGTACTCTCTCACTAAGTACTCCCGCAAAAGCTAGCCATGAGAAGAAGCACCCATCTGCAGTTGTTTTTTATGACAAGCATCGTTGATTGTTCTTTCTTTCTTCTTCTTTTTTTTCTTTGTTTTTTTTTGTTTTTGTCTTTGCATACAGATGATGGTTGTGATTATTTTGCATTATTTCTTCGACTCTGCAACTGGCCAATATAGTTTGCTCTGTATCACATTGTTTTGTTCTGCAAATGGTACCACTCCAGTCCAATATACAAACTTGCAGCTGGGTTTATTTAATCTATGGTTTTGTTCTACAAATATTATGCGGTTTTAGAAACAAATCGTGGACAGATAGCTCATCAAGTACTTTCTTTCTCCATATGAAGCATGCATACTGGAATGCATACAAACTCAGATGGAAGAACAAACAGAAATATCACATGCTGATGATTACATTATTGTACGGATGAAAATTGCTGCTATACATTATACATTCAATGTGATAAAAGAACTTCCCTGCATGAATGAGGTGTCTAATGTTATTTAATACAAAAGAAAAAATTATTGATGTTTACAAATATACTTTTACAATGGGAAGTGTACCCAAAACAAAGCTATGCGCCCATCACAAATATATATCATCCTCGTATTTATGCAAGTCAAACATGAGATCTTACATTCGGTGGATACATCTGACACTAAAAAAAGTTTTAATTGATTGTCTACAATCTTACCCTTTCAGTTGGCAAACCTTGTTACCAATCAAACTATGGATATTATTATTGTTTCAATTCAATAATAATGGACCAGCCATCAAGGATCTAATCAAGAATCTCATCTTATGTTTCAAGCTTGACGTATCCATTTGGGAATTGGTATCCATCGGCTGAAAAACTCCACATTCAACAAGCAGACACGAAGGCCCTCAGCCCACAGGCTTAAGGTCGCCCGTGAAGTGAAGACATGACATTGTGTTTTGGAACCCGTGAAGGACAAAGAGATGTTTTGTACATCATAGATTTAGACAAAAACATCCCCCTTTTTTTTTTTAACTTTTAACATACATTATCTCTTGCACAGTGTAAAAGAAAATTTGGTGTTACATTTCAATTTCCTCACAAGATAACAGTGAAACAGTGGCTTGTGGTTGTCATGGAGATAACCTTGGATTGTCAGGAACCGCCTTATTAGATTGTCAAATTTGTCAAAAATTGTGGCCCACGGACAAAGAATGAAGCGGTGCAAGTTTGTGGGATGATTAGCAGCTCAATGCAAAACTGTGGGGAACGTGAAGACAATCTGTCAATTTCCAATGCAGGATCTAATTATCATAATTCTGGAGTTTGTGCCTTTGTGGTGTGACTGGTGTCTCTTTTGTCAGTAGTAGAAGTTCTTGTTTTTCTTTTTCACCCAAAATGCTATGCATTTGATGGACAGTAAAAAATGTGGAAAATTGAATTAAAAAAGGAAAAAAAACAGACTGTTGGGATGGATGGATAGATGCAAAAGGAATCTGTATGCAACATCAACACAAGGGAGAGTGTCTTATAAGCCTACAGAGTACAGAGATTTCTGAGTTGGCTTGAAACTGCTCAAATACTTGGAAGTTGTAGCTACTTTGTTTTAAGTTTGTATCATTGTATGCCATACGCATTGTCCATTTTCTGCTAAAGTAAGTCTCACAAATTCCAAATAATCACTCCCAAAATCATTGTACTATGTAGATTGGTAGTTTTTGAACCAAACCAATTATTGATTATACATCTGTGCTCAAATGACTTATAATTGCTGATGATGTGACAAGTTTTCTAAACTTTGTCTGTTTTTTTTGTCAGAAAACTTTGTGTCAAATGACTGAGGAAAAGACTCTTTGGTTGCAATCACTTGACTGTTTACTTTACCTATTTATGGACCACCTGCACTGAAAGACTTTTTAAAAACAGTTAGAAAATTTAAAGCAAATTGTAATCAATGAATATCATAACATTCTGAACCAAAAAGCCTTATTAATAAGATTCTGATCCATACATTGAGTTGTAAACTTTGTTTGGGCCTTGGGGAGTTTTTCAATTTGCACAGATATATTATTACTGAGAGCAGCTCATAGTAGGCGCCCATCATTTTGTTTCTGTGTGAAGAACATACATAAATAAACCCAACAACATCTCCAACCTGTGTTGTTGATAGTGTACCGCTTCCGACTCATGAAATTTGTGGTTACTCCACTTGTCTCGTGAACCAACGGGGACCCAACTATTCTTTGTAGTATTCTTACACCAAACAAAGAAACAAACTCAATAAATGTAAGTAAACAAAGCAAAAGTTAGGGGCCTCTTTTTATCTACCTCACAATCACAATATTAACCTTCTTTTTAGGATTGTTTGGTGGTAGGAAATGAACCTACATTCACTTCTTCTAGTTTGCAGTTGACTGGTTTTTGCATGAGTGAAATAAATTAGCTAGATGGCCCATCAGGCTATAAAATTTGAAGAAAAAAGTTCATTTTTCATGCCTCAAAACAACCAGAAAGAAACAAAAAGGTGTATAATGAATGCTGTAGAGAATATTTATATTAGCTATAAGCCTCAGGAATTTATATAAAAGGCAACCTACATCTACTCATTCATAGACTTAGAGTTGCTCAGAGGCAATAGAGGCTCTAAAATGTCTTGGTTTTTTACAGTACTCTTTTTATCAGTACTCTCTCATTAGGTACTCCCTCAGAAGCTAGCCATGAGAAGAAGCACCCATCTGCAGTTGTTGTAGGCACTGTCTACTGTGACACATGTTTCCAAGCAGAATTCTCACATGCCAGCCACTTCATTTCAGGTTCATTTCAAATTTTCCAACAACAACTCAATCAAAAAGTGCTTTTTATACTGTGAATTTTGGGTTCAGTTAACTTATTTTTCAACTTATTTTTTCTGCAGGGGCTTCTGTTGGTGTAGAATGCAAAGATGGGAGTTCAAAACCAAGTTTCCAGACAGAAGTGAAAACTGATAGCCATGGAGTGTTCAGAGTCCAGTTGCCTTTCTCTGTGAGCAAGCATGTCAAGAAAATTGAAGGGTGTTCTGTGAAATTAATCAGCAGCAGTGAACCATATTGTGCTGTGGCCTCAACAGCCACTTCATCTTCACTGCATCTCAAGTCAAGAAAGCAAGGAACCCACATTTTCTCAGCTGGGTTCTTCACCTTTAAGCCTCTAAACCAGCCAAGCCTATGTAACCAAAAACCAAGCATTCAAAACTCCAAGGAATTCAGTTCTCAGAAAATCTCTTTTCCTCCAACTGATGAGCTCACATTTCCACCACCAACTCAAAACCCCACAATACCTGATCTTTCTCCTCTTCCTACGCTCCCTTATCTTCCACCATTGCCACAACTTCCTCCTCTCCCTCCCCTTCCAGGACTTCCTGGAATTCCAATTCCAGGAATTCCAGGAATTCCAGGAATTCCAGTTTTACCCCCCATTCCTGGTAAAACTAAAGAGGCAGGGCAACTAACTGATAAAAACCCCACAATACCTGATCTTTCTCCTCTTCCTACAATCCCTTATCTTCCACCATTGCCACAACTTCCTCCTCTCCCTCCCCTTCCAGGACTTCCTGGAATTCCAATTCCAGGAATTCCAGGAATTCCAGTTTTACCCCCCATTCCTGGTAAAACTACAGAGGCAGGGCAACTAACTGATAAAAAAGTAGCCCACCCAGATGCTTTCTTCCCACCAAACCCATTTCAGCCACCATCAATTTTGCCTCCAAATCCACTTGTGCCACAGCCAACTCCACTTATCCCCAATCCATTTCAGCCTCCACCAGCACCATTAATTCCCAATTTGCCCCCAATACCAGGTTTTACTCCACCAGCAGGCACAGCACCATTGATTCCCAACTTGCCACCTATACCTGGTTTTACTCCATCACCATCACCACCACCACCATCTCTCCCATTCCTCCCTCCATTACCATTCCCACTCCCACCTATACCTCGCATCCCTGGAATCCCACCTGCTTATTCTTCTTCTTCAAAGCAAACTACTTCTCCTTGATGTTAAACAGAAGTGATTAACTATATAAATCATGTTTAATTAACTCTCAAATAATGTCTTTCACATGTTGGTTAAGTTTTTATGTATAAATTCTTGTATGGGTTGTGCAATTATCAGAAGCATATGTAGTAGGGCTTGTAAGTTTATACTTTGTAAGGAGCATGTAGTGTACACAGAATTATTGTACTTGGAATAAAGCTATGGTTCTCATCATCCGACAAACTTCATTTGCTTTGTAAAAAATCCCAATGTATTATGAGATTTTGTGCTACTGTTTGCATTAATTATGAATTATACAGCTACAATGCACATGAAATTAAACAACTTTTGAGACCCAAAAAGAAAAATAAGAAGAATAAATTATAAACAGCTTTGAAGCTCTTATTATTTAATGAATCCTAATCATGCTATACATGCCCTCATAGATGCATAACTAAGCATCGCCTAACCAGGTTCTCTTTGATTTTCTCATTTCTGGCTCTGCATTTCCCCTGCTGCTAGAGCCACCTCCACCATTGCTCGCACTTTCGAGCTGCTGTTGAGAAGCGCTAGGGTTCCAAAAGTCCCTGAAGTAAAACGGGGCTTTCCTCTTAGAACTTTTGGCAGAAGCTGCTGGTTGGACGCCCAAGCTGTTGAGCCTGTACTTCTGCAAACCACACACAGTTGAGACTTGTCCATCAGCACCACTAAATCATCAACATCAAATCAAATTCTAGCAAATACTCATAAAATTAGTGCTTAAATAATTAATATGAGAGCTCAAATTAAATTGCATGTGAAATAAATGAGTGGTTTCAACTTTCTTTCATAGAGAGCAGCAGGGAAAGAACTTTGTTTGGGGATTGGGCCTAAATGACCCTGTTCGCTTGTTTTGCAGTCACATTGTTTCATGAGGCCCGTTAAGTTTTGCTGGTCCCTTTTGTAATATTCTGAAGGTATTTGGTGCGGCACCATAATTTCAAGTTTCTTGAGCGCATATATTTTTAGTAAATATATTACGTACACTCACTAAGCTTAGCATCAATTCAGAATTGCTATACCTATAGCACTTGGAACAAATATCATCCCTATGAAGCTATACCAACATTTTAGATAGGAAAGATGATCAGAATGGGGCATGTATAAATACTATGACAATACTCTCATGCACGCATGTATACGCATGGCTAAATTTATCATAAGATCATTGGCCCATTAAGTAATTTAATCACCAGAATCTTTCATGAGCCTGAGAAAATGCACATAAATTGCACATGTGAAGATGTTCAATCAAGATATCATTGTCACTAAACTAATATGATGCCTAAAATCTCTCATGCGTATGTGCGCATGAGAAAAATCCCCTGTATATAATTTGAGCATTGGAAGATATACTATTAAGTTATCACTGCTAGTAAAATGATCCATGAGAAAAACACCATGTATGTAACTTGAGTAATGAAAGATGTACTAATAAGATTTATCATTACTAAAATGATCAAATGACTAGATTTTCTCATGCGCTTGAGAAAAATCCCCTGTATATGTTGAGCGCAAATCCATGTATCTAATTTCAGCATTGGAAATGACCAATGAGAAAAATACCATGTATGTAACTTGAGCTGAAAGGTCTAGTATTAAGATATCATTGCTACTAAAGTGATCCAATGACTAGATTTTCTCATGTGCTTGAGAAAGATCCCCTGTATATGTTGAGTATAAATCCCCTGTATATAATTTAGCATTGGAAGACATACTATTAAGTTATTATTGCTACTAAAATGAACCATGAGAAAAAATATACCCTGTATGTAACTTGAGCATTGGAAGATCTACTATTAAGATATCATTGCTACTAAAGTGATCCAATGAATAGATTTTCTCATGCACTTGAGAAAGATCCCCTGTATATGTTGAGTATAAATCCCCTATATATAATTGAGCATTGGAAGACATTCTATTAAGTTATTACTACTACTAAAATGACCCTTGAGAAAAATACCATGTATGTAACTTGAGCATTGGAAGATCTACTATTAAGATATCATTGCTACTAAAATGATCCAATGAATAGATTTTCTCGTGAGCTTGAGAAAGATCCCCTGTATATGTTGAGCATAACTCCTTGTATATAATTTGAGCATTGGAAGACATACTAATTATCACTGCTACTAAAATGACCCATGAGAAAAAAAATATACCTTGTATATAACTTGAGTATTGGAAGATCTACTATTAAGATATCATTGCTACTAAAATGATATCCAATGAATAGATTGTCTCATGTGCTTGAGAAAGATCCCATGTACATCTTGAGCATAAATCTCATGTATATAATTTGAGCATTGGAAAACGTACTATTAAGTTATCACTGCTACTAAAATGACTCGTGAGAAAAATACCCTGTATGTAACTTAAGCATTAGAAGATCTATTACTAAGATATGCTACTAAAATGATCCAATGAATAGATTTTCTCATGCGCTTGAGAAAGATCTCCCATGTAAATGTTGAGCATAAATATCTTGTATAGAATTTGAGCATTGGAAAATCTACTATTAAGTAGTTATCACTGCTACTAAAATGATCAATGAGAAAAATATAACTTCAACATTAGAAAATCTACTATTAAGATATCATTGCTTTTAAAATGATCCAATGAATAGATTTTCTCATGCGCTCGAGAAAGATCCCCTGTATATTAAGACATCATTGCTACTAAAGTGATCCGACGCATGATTCATTTTTAATGTGTACATAGTAGGATCTATCAGTAAGATGTCATTGCAACTAAATTGATCCAATCTAAAGATTCTGTTATGCACGCAATGACCAAAAATTAACAACTAAAGACTAACATGAGTTTATCGCCTTTCCCTTAATAGAAATATGCTAGTTAAGGAGAATGACAATTGATATATAATCTCATAAAAATATGAACAGTTCGGAATAAAGCAGCCAACCAAATATATAGATTCTCATCAGTTCGGATAATAACAAGTATGTCTTTGTAAGGTAATATTCTTATGATTCACAAATCACAATTCAAAGCCAACCTGCAGGTGACTCTTCACTTGGTCGTTAGTAAGCCCCTCGACCTGCATGGCCTCCCTAATTTGTTTTGGAGTTGCTTCTGCTCAAAAAGGCAAATGTAATAAACAAACAATATATTGTTATCAAGGCTCAAAGAATATTATATTCGGAATATGTTGAAAATATATACCCAAAAACCTAGATCCCACCCAAAATGATTCAAATATTCTCACCTGCAGGACCTCCCAGCATGCTCAAGACCTCCACAAACTTTGTGTGGAGCTCTTGCGTCCAGCTTAATCTGCTGTGTTTCCATATAGGCGGAGGTACCTCTGGCTGTGGCTGTGGATCTGGTTCTGGCTCTGGCTCTAGCTCCAGCTCTGAACCGCTTGCCTCCATGTTGAGATCACATGGGAAAGGTCTCCTGGGACTTGGCACCATGAGGATCGGCTCCTTTCCCTTCACCTTCAACAAGATCACCAAAATGTGTCAAATCAAATAATTATTTATCAAGACGCAAGAGGGAAAAATATTTTTAAAAAAATAAGGGAAACTGAATTTTTTGCATGTCTATGCCACCTACCTTATGGTCATCACTTGTATGATCTTGGTTGCGAGGCCTAGGGTTAAACGGAGGTGATGAGCTCTTATATTTTCGGAACGCACTCCGCCGTTCCACTGGATCCTCACATGAGCCTCTATTCTTACATGCATCGAACTGATCTTGGCCACTCAACTTCTCAATTTCGTTATTGAGTGTTTGTATAGCTATATGATCACAACCAAGAAAAAACATCAGTCAAAAATAAAAAATAAAAATAAACCCATTAGAGGTAAATCAACATAACAATTTTCTTAGAGAGAAAAAAAGGAAAAATAAACAAATGGGGGTAGCTATAGCTCACCATCCAACAACAGAAGAACACATTGAGGTAGGTCTCTTTTAAATTCCTCTACTCTGTGGAGCTCTTCTTGGTGTTTTAGAAGATACTCATTCAAAACAGTCAATTTGTGTGGAACATTATCTATACTTGCCAGATCACTGAATAAGTGATTGAGTGATTTTGGGACATAAGAGGGCTTTAGACTCAGTGCAAGATCAAGAGAATTTAGCTCAAGGGGATTTGAAGTTGAACCCATTTTTGTCTCTCTAAAGGCTCACTCTCTAAGCTTAGCTTTGTATCTTTCTCTCAGATCTTGGTTGTTTGGTGGAGACAAGAGGACAGTGAGGGTTGGTTTATAAAGAGAGAGTGAGATAGGGAGGAGAGAAAAGTGAAGAGCAGAATCCACAGAATTCAATTTGAATGCTCTAACAAAAAAAAAGAGTGTAAATAGAAATCCCAACAAGACAACTTAGATTACATAATGACAGATTCTCTCATACACTCCCTCAGATTTTTGACAACCAATCTCCAATTAACTTTTATGCATTATTAAAGAAAAAAATTAAATAAAAATAAATTAAAGGAATATAGCCTGAGTCTAGGCGCCGCATATTATCTGTCCATATATATTTCTTTTTTTCTTTCCTTTTTGGCAAAATTTCCAAAACCAGAAATGAAATACAGTGTGAGGGGTGAGGCCATTCTTATCTGCAAATACTGGCCTTAATGCTTTCAGTGTCTCTTTGTTGGATGCTAGAATCTGTCATAATTTTGACAGTTTATATTCTCATCATGCATGGCTGACCTTTCTCTCTTTTGTTGATGTCTGCCAGAAAATTCATAAATTCCAACCAATTCCTCAACTCTATATTCTGCATGTGTCTTCTAAGTTGTTGCAAATACAGACAAACATGAACAGTCTGAAAATTATGTATTGTATATTGAGAGTTTTGATAAAATAAAATAAAAATTATTACCATGAAGTAATTTGGTAAAAATTCTAATTTGGAAAATGGTTGCCAATTTTACCATATATCTACACATTTCTTCCAAAAGAATATTTATATCCATATATATTGATATATAAATTTAGAAAAAATTTGACAGGAGATTTTTCCTAAATTATATATTGGATCCCATATCATTTTCCAAGAAGGAGCTAAATAATATCTAATATCTGGCAATTAACGAATACATATAAACTAGCATCTCCGTACGCGCTTCCGTGTCTGCTAGAGGCTTTTTTTAAAAAAAAATTAAATTTATTTAAGAATTAAAAAAGATAATGGGTAGTAGTTTTCCATAAAAATAGGACTATTATTTGATTTTTCTTTTCATTTTAATTTTTTCAATATGAAAAAATGTGAATTTATCATATTATTCTTATTTAATTAATAATTTCAATTCTTAATGTTTGCATTAACTAATGACATTTTCTGGTATTTTAAATGTTTTACCCTTCTCTGCCTTTTGCTCTATATATAGATACCACTATATAACATTTGAAGAAATTGGTGTTTTGCAATTTCTGTTTTGTCATTAATCATGAATGCATGAAGGGAAACGCTTTTCTTTTCTTTTTCTTGTTTTTGTTCTTTCTTAAAATTTCACAGGCCTATTTAGCCACGTTGAGTATCTCTTCAAGGTCTATCTAGAGCCACCTGTGTCCATGGCAATTACCATAATATATACCCATTAATGCATTTTTGCATGGAGATAATAGAGGGCATATATGTAATTTTTATTTAACTTTTTGAACGGCCATACTCGTGTTTAATAAAAATAGTATAGTCGTGCGGCTTTACTATTTTGAGACGTGCCACCTAGGCGCTAGGCGGTTCGTTTATATGTGTATATATATATACCTGCGCAGCTATACTAGATCTTTTTAACTTTTTGAAAGAGAGTACAACCGAGCGGCGATACTCGTTTTACTAATGTTTTAAAAAATAGTATAGTCGTGCGGCGTTACTGTTTTGAAACTTTATATATATATATATATATAGTATAGCCGGTCGGCTATATCCGGTTTTAAATATTTTTAGAAAAAAAAATAGACCTCTATCGACGAACGATTGTCGGGAGAGGTGTTTTTAAATTAGTTTCTACTTTCTTTTTTTTTTTTTTTTTTTTTTTTTTTTTTTTCTAATTTCTAATTTAATAATATATATATATAATTAAGTAATATCTTAGCCTTTTTGAATTACTTTAATTGATAATTATTTTTTTAATTATTATTTCTTTAGTGAATATTTAAATATATTACTAATTTTACAAATGAATGAATAAATAGTAAGTACTTGAAGTTCAATGGATGTTAGAAAAATAAATTACTTATTTTTGTTTTGGTGTCTTAATTAAATTTCTCCATAGCCCAAGTGCGATTTTTTTTAGTATAGATGTGCGGCTATACTCTTTATATATATAGTGGGATCTTTTTTTTTTCTTTCTGATTTTTATTTATTGATAAGAGTTGTTTAGAGCATCATCCATTACTATTAGGCCATTACTCGAGTCTCTATTGTCATCTTTTGATTTTTTTACTTTTCCAAAGTTACTACCCGTATAAAGATTTTAACACTTTGAAGTTTAATAATGTATTATACACGTACGTTCGTATTTTTCAATAATACATTCGTGTCGTGTTCTGCAAACGTCTTAAAGACTCGGCGAATGTATAATACTTGTATTATGCAGGTACATACGTATTTTTCATGTTTAATACACGTATTTTTTAAGCAAATTTCAATAAGACACACAAAATTCATGTATTATACACATAATTCTCACATATTATTGAATAAAAATAATATATTTTAAAAATTAGTTTAGCCGCTTGGCTTTACTCTTTTGACACGTGACCTTAGGCCTTCTCCGACCCATGAGAGGCTAAACCCAAATTTCCCCCTCCAAAAAGTAACTATTTGGGTTTTGCTTGGACTCAAATCGTTTTTTCTCCTAACCCTCAGGACTCAAATTTTAAGTCCGCAACTTTATTAAATTGTTTAAGAATGATTTAAGTCTAACCTTTTTTTTTTTTTTTTTTTTTTTTTTTTTTTTTGTTTGTTTTCTAAAAAAAAAAATTAATCTTTTTTATTAAATAATCTTTTTAAATAAATTAAATTAATTTTTTGAACAATTTGACCTAAAAAAAATTGAAATTCCATAAATTTAATTTTATTCCAAAAGTATGAGAATGAAGAAGATGATGTGCTTGAAATGATATCAAAAGTATGAGAATGGAAGAGATTGATGAAATTGACAAAGGAAAAATAAATTGAGAAATAGAAAAAATGTTTTTGGTAGATTAATTGAGAAATGAGTGAGTATTTATAGAGTTTGGAATGAGATTTGGGATTGGATCTAATTTGGATTAATTTAAAATATTATTTTGACCGTTAGATTTAAAATTCAGCTGGTTGTTTTTTTTTTTTTTTTTTTTTTTTTTAAAATAACATAGATTTAATCCCTATCGTTGATTTAAGTTATATGTACCAAAAAAAAAAAAAAAAAAAAAAAAAACAAAACAGAAACCGTTGGAATTCCAATGGCAACTCCATGGGATAGCGACAAGTGGAGCAAAGGAGAAGACAAAAAAGCAAGCTGCAAATTTGGAGGTGGGCCCCACATAAGAATCTTTGCACATGAGGCTGTTTGAGATGTGCAGTGGGTTCCATTGAATAGTGTTGGTCAAGGCAATACTTGGACCCATATTTGGATCCAAATTTGGGTTTTCCCAAATTTTGGGTCCTTCATTTTCTTGGGTTTGGAGAGGTTTTGGGCAATATTTTGGCTTTAGGTCCTTGAATTGGAGATGGCCTTAGCGCTGGGCAAGTCCTTAAATATATATATATATATATATTGTATAGCCGCGCGACTATACTAGATTATTTTTTAAAAGAAACAGTATAGCCGTTCGGCGATACTTGTTTTTACTAATTTCTTTTAAAAAAATAGTATAGCCATACCGCGTTACTATTTTGACACTTAGCTTTATAGTATAGCCGACCGGCTATATCCGGTTTTTAAATTTTTTTTTGAAAAAGTATACCCGCATGCAGTTGTTAAAAACACAAGAAAAAAAGCCCCAATTTGAGCATTTTGGGCTAAACACCCCTGCTCGTCCATTGATCTCTTGCAAAGGCTGCGCTCCTCTCTGATACCAAAACGCTGCGTTGAGGGGGAAGCTAGGGCTCCAGTCGTGGGCCGATTCTCAAATTTAAGCAGTTTATTCGATTGCCTATGCCACCGCTTCTCCTTCTTGATCTCTATTGGGTACTTGGCTTCATTTCTTTTCTTTTTCTACGTGAAATTAGTGACCTTCTCTTTTCCACTTGAATTTTCGTTTTTTATTGAAGTTTTTGAAAAATGATATAAAGTTCATAGTTTTAAGGGATTTGACTAATTTTGGTTGGTGAGCTCCATGTTCTTGCGTTTAGTTACAATACTAGGAGTTGGATATCATTTTACTGCCGGTTTACTAATCTCTAAATGTGCATTCTAGAATTGGCAAGTAATTTCAGATGTGATTTTTTTTTCTTAATCAAACAAGAAAGACAGATACACAGCCTTTTTTTATTTTTTATATATAGATTGTTTGTGAATTGAATAGATAATTTTCACTCTGCTCCATATTTGAATATTTTGTACTCAAAGTTTTTTAGGATTTTTATTGAACTTAGAAACCTCCTTAACCCTCAAAACACCTTGACTTTTCTGAAAATTAACTTTTTAGCAGCCACTCAATTTGAGGGCTCTCTCCGTGGCTCTATTATTGTACGCTCTATTGTCTTATGCTTAGAAGCCTGAAACTTTCATGTTTAATCGATTCAAATCAGTAGCAACATTAACACTAAGTGTGTCTTGTGTGAAGGAGAGAGGAAGTGAATGTTTTTACTTTTTCTCTATGCCCTGTCCCTGAACTTTGTGGATTTGTGGATGAGTCATTTTTTGTTGAGTTGGTTTCTGATTTGTCCACAAATCCTTTTTTATAATTTGTAATTTTTATGTATTCACTCTTCTGCATTGCTACCTGTTTGTGCATGCTTGGGGATGGGGTGAGTAGTTGCTCTATTTTTGTTTTGTTTTGCAGAGTAATACAGTGTAGCTTTTGGAGATAGCGTTGGTTGATGAAATGGATAAGGCACCTGACACACTGCAACCTTGCTCTGTTGATAGTCTGGTGGACTTGTTACCATCTATTACCAGTAGTTCTTGTGGTAATGAGTTTGATAACCACACTAAATGTCGTCCACAAGGTAATTGTTTTGGTCGTAAGATTTGATTTCTTCTATGTTGTTGCCTCATGGCCTACTGCTACTGATGATGTACTCTTTATGTGTATGAGAAGGTGTCAATTGCTCAGGGTCAGGGATACCGCTAGATCGTCTGGTTATGCCTTTAGCTTATGAGTGCATACAATCTGATAGGCAAACCAGTGGGTTTGGCGATCCTACTATCCATCAGGATTTGAACAAATAAATTTTTCTATCTCAGGCTGGGCAGTTGCTCGTGTGGGGTTTAGTAGATGTTTGATCTTGTTCTGTAAGAAACTCATTGTGATCCCAGATATGTTTGATGAGAAGATGGTTGGGACAAACTTCTGTAAGAGACTGTCCTTCAGTTTGAGGATTTATAAAGCTACTTCGAAGTCTCTCAAAGGAAATCTATATATTGAATATGAAGCCTCATTGGTGCAAGCAGTTGGTTCTTTTGCTGATGTAGTGCCTGGGTTGTTTAGACCTGTATTTGAGTTTGTAAATAGCAATGTGGCAATCGAGGGTAGTTTGGGGACCCCCATTCTGTTGCTACTGGAAGACTTTCTTGAACTCATTTGGGGTACTTTCTGCAACAACAGTGTTTTGCGTGGTAGCTTCCATACTAGACAATTTAGACTCTTCTTTATGGAGATAAAACAATGTTGCTAACCTGAAGCCCCCACTATCTTATTTTCTATGATTGGTTGTTTCCATATTGATGCTCATTCACGACCTTAAGAGACAGATTAGTCGGGCTGTCATTTGGAAGGAGTTAGACACAGAACTTGATGGCAGTAGCGTCAATATTCTTGATTCCCCCAGATGCCTTGTTCATTCTGAGAAATTCCTTTACTTCACAGGCACACATTTGAACATCAAGTGCAAATGATATTCCCTTCCTCAAAGCAATGGATGGATGGATGATCTTGATGCATCTTATCTTTTTCCTTGAGTGAAACTGAGGCCAAAGGTGGAAAGGTCATATTCTAGTTGTGCAAAAATTACTTGCAGCTCTGAATTAGAAATATTGTGTGCCATGAAGATGAAGCCTTTTTTGGAGACCTTTTCTATGAAGGTGGTTGTGGAACTACAGATGGGTACGATCAGCCAGCAGTTGTTGCTAACTCTAACTCTAGCTCCATCTGGTTTTCATATTGAGATTATGCTCATGTCATTTCACTTATCGTCTGAAGAGGAAAAAGCATTACATGCAAAGTTAATATTTTCTGCTCAAAGAACAATTGGTGGTCCAACTTCGGTTTCCAACAGTACACATTGTCTTGCTGGGTTTTACTGGTTTGAAGTTTGATTTTAGTGCGTTGCCATATGAAATTTTACCCACGGATTTGTCCTTCATCTTTGCTTGTGCACCTACGATCCAAGTTGAGGGACACTCCATACTCCACTTCACAGCTCAGGGTGAACGATCATTTGTCATCTTGAGTCTCAATTGTATTTCAAAATGTAATGACTGCATTGTTTGAAGAAGAGCCTGACATCAGTCCTTGATTCATCAACTGATTGATATATCTGCCCTCCCTGCTTCGCTGTCCACAGACAGTTGTAATATTGACAGATTCTGCTTGAGTTGGGATGACATCTGTTCAACCATGTCATTGTCATCAATTCTGGGGTTCTGGAAATCTAAACAGGATGTAGTTGTGGAGGATCTTGTTATTGAAAGATACATTTTCGTACTTTGTTGGGACTTTCCAACTATTGGCACTGCAAAAGACCATCAGCTTCCTTTAGGGAGCTATCCGCAGACTCTTGGCACTTCTGAAATAGCAAATATCTTTTACTTCAGCCATTCAATTCGAGGTCATCTAGGTGTTGATGTGAAAAATAATTTTCTTGAAGTCATTGTTCGTCCACTTCATGTATCCAATTGTAGTTATTTGGACGAGACTTCAAATAGAAATGCCATGTAATATGTGTATAAACAATAAAAGAGATTAAAAAGGAAGGTTTTTTGTTTTTTTGCATAAAAAATTTCGTTGTTTACGGCGGGGGAAGGCAAATTTTAAGGGGTTCTACGTTTTAGCGGCGGTTTTCCGAGTCGTAGATAAAAGCGCAGTTAGCGACGGCTTTTTCCGCAGCTAAAGTCGTTTTGCATTTATGAACACAGTAAATCGTCACGAAAAGTACAAAAACCGGAGCTAAATTATAAAAACCGCCGTTGAAATTTGAAAAACCGCCACAAAAAACAAGAACGTCTCATTATCCATGATAAACTGTTTTCCCTTCCTTTCTTTTATTTTTTGGGGGTACAGCAGCAAAGTCAGTCTGGAAGGAGTTGTGTAAGGTTTGTACTAATCACTCTTAATTATCGTCATCAGTATTAAACCGGTAATTTTCTACAAAAGAGATCATTTTCATTTGTTTAAAGTGTTTGATCTTTGGGTCTTGCTTCTTATCTTCTAAGCTCTAGCTTTTCATTTCTTTTCCATGTGCAGGTATGAAAGTCACACATGAATAACGATTCTATGTTGTTTTTCATATATGAATTTAATAAACTCCATATTTGAAACATTAGGTGAAAGCTTTAAGCATGCCTACTTGCAAAAGTTGGACAAGATTCATACTAAATTAAGATACTTCGTCCTGTCTTATTCTTCTTCTTCCTCCTTTTTTTCACTGATGAACGATGGTGAGTAAAATATTTATGTGCATGACAAGCTATTTGCCACACCGATTTTGTCTTCACCATGTTCCGAAATGTAAAGTTCGAACTCCTCTTCTCATATATTTTGAGTCCAATTATAAATAATCTTTTTATATGTATTGACATGTCGAAACTCATTATTCAATCAATATCAAATTTCATTTTGCATAATTAGAATATATCTCGATGGAACAAAGTTGTAAGAATCTCAAATTGACCAAACCATTTACACAAATATAGATCCCCCATGGAGCCTGGGTTTCTTGACCAAGGCCAAATCCTCCCATTAGCAACCCAATATTACCATTTTAGGCTTAAACCAGAAATGGCATGGGCTAAACACCCCACTAGACATGCTCTTATAATTACTAATTGTGCTGCACATTTACAAATGAGGAAGAAGCCTAATTTCTGTTGTGTATTATAAGGCCTATTGTTGAGCTTATTTACACCCGATTCGCTCAAGGTGGTAGTAGCTGTCATGAGTGTTCGAATGTTATCTATTTACTTTATTTTAATTTTATGGTCTTTGTCAAAAGTTTATTTTGGCTCCTTCTTCTTTCTTGGATGATAAGACATGCATCTTCCTTGAGATTTCTTTTTGTCAATCCATACTAGATTAAAAGAAAATAATTTTTTTTGCTTCTTCTTACATAATGATTTGAACATAATATGTTTATTCTCATCCATTTATTCATCTCATGCCACGTGGGGAGCCACTCCTAGACTTGGAGTGGCCCTGGCCCCCATATTTTTATCATTCCTCTATTATATTATATATAATATATAGAATTTGTAATACGTAAATTAGAATTTAAGTTAAAATTTCATCTAAAACAAATTAGACATGACTCAATTAAAAATATTTAACTCTAAATATGCAAGTATTGAATAATTAGGTATTTTATAAACTTGTATTTTCTACTCCGCCCCCCTCCTAACTTTACAATTCTAGCTCTGCCCGGACTTAAACTAAAACTAATGGTTAATTTCCTCATTTATTTCATACTCCAATCATGTGTTACAAACAAATTCAGTTAGTAATTTTACTGGTTTACTGTTGATAGTCGGCATTACTTTTCTTTATCGAGAAGATAAGATAAGTATCAATACATCAATAACGAATTGGTATTATTGCACTTTCTCTATCTAAACGACAAACATTTGTATTACATTGCATATCAATTATATAAAAAAATATTCCCAAGAATCACATTTGCTTGGGAAAAAAGCAAACTCTTTTCTATAATAAGTAAATAGTAAAAGTAAAAGCTCTCCTTAAACCCGTCAATCACCACAAATTTGCGTTTTACTAATTTGTTGCTTTATTCCTCTCGACCGCCTTAAAACATTTTTATTCCATAGACCCATTTCATTTTTTCAACCTCACTACAGACCCAAACACTCTTCTTCTTCTTCTTCTTCTCTCTTTCTCGCCTTTTCTCCGATGCACTAATTCTCACTTGTCTTTCACCCGATCGTCTCGTTCCTCATGGCCGAGGCCTTCGCCAAACTCGCCGAGTCTCTCTACTCGGAAAACAAGCCCATCTCCTCCGCTGATCTCTTGCAGAGGCTGCGCTCCTCCCCCGACTCCATCAGACCTGGCCTCGAGAACCTTTTTCTGATTCTTAAACTCGGCGTTGAGGCCGCCGGAGACGGGAAGCTAGGGTTCCAATCATGGGCCGATTCTCAAATTCAAGCAGTTTATTCGATTGCCTATGCCATCGCTTCCGCCTCTCGGTCTCTATTGGGTACTTGGCTTCATTTCATTTTCTTCTACGTGAAATTAGTGGCCTACTCTTTCCGCTTGAGTTTCTGTTGCTATCTTTTGAATATAGAAGTAGAGTATATCAAATTACAAGTACTTGATTGTGGGTTGTTGCTAGTTTTCTCTGTATGCCTGTAGCTTCTAGCTTTTTTGGCTTTTACATCTAAGTGGTTGTACTTTTTGCTAGTCGTAATAAATGTACTTAATTTCTTTGTAGTGGGGCAAGCGGAAGCAATAATTGTTGCCATTGTGCAACTGTCGTTGGAATTTGCTGTATGTTATTTGGAGAGATCAGAATTTAACAGCGAAGATATGAGCATTCAGGTTAGTAGTTCTTCTTTCCATATGATATGACTAGTTTAGTTTGATGTTACTTCTGCTTAGCCGCATTAACAGCAAACATCAATTTGCTCTGTTGTCTTGTGTCTTGTGTGAAGGAGGGAGAGAGGGAGAGAGGGAGATAATTTTTATTTTCTCTCTGCCCCCTGTACCCAGATTTTTTTGGATTTATGGATGAGGTCCTCTTTTGTTGGGTTGGTTTCTGATTGTTCCAAAAATCCTTTTTTATTTTTTATGATTTTTTTTTTAAATAAATAAATATATTTTAATTTTTATGTATTTAGTGTTCTGCATTGCTACCTGTTTACACATGTTTGGGGAGGTGAGTAGTGGCTCTATCTTGTTTTGATAGTCCAATTCTTGTTGGTTTTGCAGAGTATTATGGTGCAGCTTTTGGAGATAGCGTTGGTTGATGAAATGGATAAAGCACCTGACACACTGCAACCTTGCTCTGTTGATAGTCTGGTGGACTTGTTACCATCTGTTACCAGTAGTTCTTGTGGTAATGAGTTTGATAACCACATTAAATGTGGCCCTCAAGGTGATTATTTTGGTTGTAAGACTTGATTTCTTCTAGTGTTGTTGCCTCATGTCTTATTGGTACTGATGTTATACTTTTTATGTGTATGAGAAGGTGCCAATTGCGCAAGGTCAGAGAAACCGGTGGATCGTCTGTTTATGTCTTTAGCTTCTGAGTGCATACAATCTGATAGGCAGACCAGTGGGTTTGGTGGGCCTACTGTCCACCAGGATTTGAACAAATTGGTTTTTCTATCGCAACATTGGGCAGTTTCTCACGTGGGGTGTATTCAACGTTTGATCTTGCTCTGTAAGGAACTCATTGTGCTTCCAGATATGTTTGATGAGAAGATGGCTGGGACAAACTTCTGTAAGAGGCTGTCTTTCAGTTTGAGGATTATAAAGCTACTTGGAAGTCTCACGAAGGACATCCCATATATTGAATATGATGCCTCATTGGTGCAAGCAGTTGGTACTTTTGCTGATGCAGTGCCTGTGTTGTTTAGATCTGGATTTGAGTTTGTAAATAGCAATGTTGCAGCCGATGGTAGTTTTGAGAGCCTCACTTTGTTGCTACTGGAAGACTTCCTTGAACTCGTCCGGGTTACTTTCTGCAACAGCAGTGTTTTCTTGAATGTCCAAGTCTGTGTGGTAGCTTCCATACTAGATAATTTAGACTCTTCTGTATGGAGATATAACAAGTCTGCTGCTAACCTGAAGCCCCCACTAGCTTATTCTCCACGAATTGTTGTTTACATATTGATGCTCATTCACGACCTTAAGAGACAGACTAGTCGGGCTGTCAATTGGAAGGAGTTAGACACAGAACTTGTTGGCAGTAGCGTCAATTTTCTTGATTCCCCTTCATGCATTGTTCATTCTGAGAAAGTTCCTTTACTTCACAGGTTCACATTTGAACATCTAGTACAGATGATATTCCCTTCCTCAAAACAATGGATGGATGATCTAATGCATCTTATCTTGTTCCTTCATTCAGAGGGAGTGAAACTGAGGCCAAAAGTGGAGAGGTCATATTCTAGTTGTGCAAAAACCACTTGCAGCCCTGAATTAGAAAATGTGGTTTGCCATGAAGACGAAGCCCTTTTTGGAGACCTTTTCTCTGAAAGTGGCCGTGGATCTACAGACGGATATGATCAGCCACCAGTTGTTGCTAACTCTAGCTCTAGCCAGAGTAATATGCCAATGGAAGCTGCTACAGAAATGTTGAACTTTTTGAAAGTGTGCATCTTCTCTCCTGAATGGCATCCATCTGTTTTTGAGGATGGCTGCTCAAAGCTTAGCAAAAGCCATATTGATATTTTTTTGTCCTTACTCCACAGTCAGGGATGTGCTGAGGAGAGGAGTGCTGAGGGCTATTCTCTATCACAGGAAGAGAGAAAGATTGGGCATGCCCATGAACTTTGTTTTGATTTGTTTCAGGACCTTGTCACACGCCATGCTTTATCTGATTCACTGGAAGAGTACTTTGTTGAGAAAGTTTTGAATGTTGAGAATGATACTTTTGTTTACAATAATCAGACCCTTAACTTGCTAGCTCACACCCTTTTCTGTAGGGTGGGTTTGGCTGGCAGCCGGTTGAGAAACCAAATTTTCAGGGGGTTTGTGGATTTTGTGGCTGAGAAGACAAAAGCTATTTCTTTAAAATGCCCTAGCTTTAAGGAGCTTCTTGAGGCCCTTCCATCTCCTTTTCATATTGAGATTCTTCTTGTGGCATTTCACTTATCGTCTGAAGAGGAAAAGGCATCACATGCAAAGTTAATATTTTCTGCTCTCAGAACAATTGGTGCTCCAGCTTCGGGTTCCAACAGTACACATTTGTCTTGCTGGGCTTTACTGGTTTCAAGGTTGATTTTAGTGCTTCGCCATATGATATTTTACCCACAGACTTGTCCTTCATCTTTGCTTGTACATCTACGATCCAAGTTGAGGGAAGCTCCGTACTCCAGTTCACAGCCTGGGGTGAACGATCATTTGTCATCTTGGGTCTCAATTGTATTTAAAAATGTAATGACTACATGGTGTGAAGAAGAGCCTGACATCAGTCCCTTGATTCATCAACTGATTGATATATCTGCCCTCCCTGCTTCGCTGTCCACAGACAGTCTTAATATTGACAGATTATGCTTGAGTTGGGATGACATCTGTTCAACCATGTCATCAATTCTGGGGTTCTGGAAAGGTAGACAGGCTGCAGTGGTGGAGGATCTCATTATTGAAAGATACATTTTCATACTTTGTTGGGACTTTCCAACTATTGGCACTGCAACAGACCATCAGCTTCCTTTAGGGAGTGATCCACAGACTCTTGACACTTCTGAAATAGAAAATTTCTTTTACTTCAGCCATTCAATTCTAGGTCATCATGGTGTTGGTGTGAAAAATAATTTTTCTGAAATTATAGTTCACTTGCTTCAGCACTTAGATGCTGAACTTGTACCTGAATACATTGAGGAATTAGGCTGGGGTTTTTTGAGAAATGCAATGTGGTTGTCTTTGGCACTTTCCTTGCTTGATGTTGGCATCTGGAGGTATGGTGTGAAGAATAGAGTCACAGGAGTGGGTTCAAACTGGATAGAGAACACGTCTAAGGACAATGAGTATATTGCTGTTGCTGAAGGGATGATTTCTTCTTTGATGGAAGCTGGACAAGTTTCAATGTTGTTTAAGATATTTTCATCTTTGTTGAAAAGACATTTACAGGCTTATCAGAAAGCTTTTGTTGCTACGTTTGGTAGTAGCCAGAAGGATGCTGATGGGTTTTCACCACTTTTGCTCTTTAAACATTCAGGATTTGACAGATGCCTTCAGGATGAGCTTGAAAAGACTGGCACTTATTCTTTTCGTCTAGAGTCTGTTCTTGACCTGTTGGTAAAGTTTGATGCTATCATTGATAAAAGAGCTTCAGGAATTTTGTGCAGGGTCTCCTGGGAATGTATGTTACATGGTTTCCCATTTAATCTTCAGACTCATAGTGGAATTCTTCTTTCTTGCATTTTTAACATAAGGGGGATAATTTCCATTCTTGTTGGTTTGCTTAAAATAAAAGATGTGATAGGAAATGTCGGCGTGGAGATTGAGGTACTTCGTCAAATTCTTGATACAGTTGTGACAATCAAGTTTGATAGGATCTTTGAAAGCATTCACGGGAAATGTGAAACCATTTATGAAAGCTTGAGTGCAGGCTTGGGAGGGTCAGACTATGCCAATTTAATTCTATTAGAGCACTTGGAGGGTTTTCTAAGGGACATTAATGCCAGAGGAGTAAGCGACAACAGCATTTATGAGTGCATAATCACCAAGGCTATTGATATGATGGATAGCCTTAGAAAAGACCCTACAAAGGTTGATATTTTTAAGTTCTATCTTGGAGTAGAAGATGTCCCAGAGCAGGTGAAGGCGCTTTTCGGCGTGCAGCGTGGTGATTTACTGGTTCTAATTGACGCTCTGCATAATTGTTACTCTGAGACAGTTAACATAAAGGTTCTTAGCTTTTTTGTTGATCTGTTAACTGGAGAGCTGTGCCCTGATCTTAAACACAAGATCCAAAACAAATTTCTCAGCATGGACTTACTTTTGCTTTCCAAGTGGTTGGAGAAGAGGCTCTTAGGTTGTGTTGTGGAAGCTTCGGGTGGAGTTAACAGTGCAAAAGGAAGTTCTCTCTCTCTCAGGGAGTCGACCATGAACTTTATTTTATGCATTGTATCACCACCTTCTGATTTGAAATCAGCAGAACTGCAGAGTCATATTTTTGAAGCTGTGCTGGTCTCCCTTGATCCTGCTTTTTTGAAATTTGATATTCATGTTGCCAAATCATTTTTCCATTTTGTTGTTCAGCTATCAAAGGGTGATGCTTCAGTGAAATTACTTTTAAAGAGGACCATAATGCTGATGCAGAAGCTGACCGGCAATGATTGCCTGCTACCAGGCCTGAAGTTTCTTTTTGACTTTTTGGGAAGTGTCTTAAGTGATTGTGGGTCTGGTAAGAATACCCCAGAAAAGTTGTCGGGAAAATCTCTGCCTGGAAATACTATTGGTATGGGACCTATGGCTTCAAGGCCAGTAGGTTCAAGGAAGAACTCCGAGACATTGGTCCTTTCTACTAATGAAGAAGGTGGGTCCATTGCTCTTGAATGTGATGCAACTTCTGTAGACGAGGATGAGGATGATGGAACTTCTGATGGTGAGGTGGCTAGCCTGGATAAGGATGACGAAGACGATACTAACAGTGAAAGGTCCCTTGCTTCTAAAGTTTGCACGTTTACTTCTAGCGGTAGCAATTTTATGGAACAACACTGGTACTTCTGTTATACATGTGATCTGACTGTCTCAAAAGGCTGTTGCTCTGTGTGTGCAAAAGTTTGTCATCGTGGTCATCGTGTTGTTTATTCTCGCTCTAGTCGTTTCTTTTGTGATTGTGGAGCTGGGGGTGTTAGAGGCAGCAATTGTCAATGCCTAAAGCCACGCAAGTACACTGGAAGTAGTAGCGCCCCCATCCGTAGTACTAGTAATTTCCAGTCCTTTTTACCTTTCACGGAGGATGGAGAGCAGCTGCCAGAAAGTGATTCAGATCTTGACGAGGATACTAGTACCGATGTAGATAACTCTCTCAGACTATCCATCCCAAGAGAGCTTCAGGATGGGATCACACCATTGCTTGAAGAACTTGATGTTGAAGGTCAGGTGCTCGAGCTTTGCTCCTCATTGTTCCCCTATATAACTAGTAGACGAGAGTCCAACTTGTCAAAAGATAATAAGATCATTCTTGGTAAAGACAAGGTGCTTTCTTTTGGTGTTGACCTCTTGCAATTGAAGAAGGCATATAAAAGCGGCTCCTTAGACCTGAAAATAAAGGCAGACTATTCCAATGCCAAGGAACTTAAATCACATTTAGCTAGTGGTTCTCTTGTCAAATCCTTGCTCAGTGTCAGTATTCGAGGGCGACTTGCTGTTGGTGAAGGTGATAAAGTTGCTATATTTGATGTTGGGCAGTTGATTGGACAGGCCACCATTGCACCGGTGACAGCAGACAAAACCAATGTTAAGCCCCTCTCCAAGAATGTTGTTCGATTTGAAATTGTGCAGCTTACTTTCAATCCAGTGGTGGAGAATTATCTTGCAGTAGCAGGCTATGAAGATTGCCAGGTCCTTACCTTGAATCCTCGTGGTGAAGTGACTGATCGTCTTGCCATTGAACTGGCACTGCAAGGTGCATATATCAGACGGGTTGATTGGGTTCCAGGTTCTCAGGTTCAATTAATGGTGGTTACCAACAGGTTTGTCAAAATATATGATCTATCTCAGGACAACATCAGTCCCATACACTACTTCACACTGCCAGATGATATGATTGTGGATGCAACACTTCTTTTGGCAACTCTAGGGAGGATGTTTCTTATTGTTCTTTCAGAAAATGGAAGGCTATTCAGGCTAGAGTTGTCAGTGGACGTTAATGTTGGGGCTACACCTTTGAAGGAAGTAATCCAGATACAGGATAAAGAGATAAACGCGAAGGGTTCATCTTTGTACTTTTCATCAGCGTACAAATTACTTTTCCTATCCTATCAAGATGGCACTGCTTTGGTTGGTCGGCTAAGCCCCAATGCCACATCTCTAAGTGAGATGTCTACTATATATGAGGAGGAACAAGATGGTAAACTGCGGTCTGCTGGACTACATCGTTGGAAGGAATTGTTGGCAGGCAGTGGGTTATTCGTTTGCTTCTCAAGTATAAAATTAAACTCTGCCATTGCTGTATCGATGGGATCACAGGAGTTATTCGCACAGAACTTGAGACATGCAGTGGGTTCGACTTCACCTCTTGTTGGAGTAACGGCTTATAAGCCTTTATCCAAAGATAAGATTCACTGTCTTGTTTTGCACGATGATGGTAGCCTTCAGATATACTCACATGTTCCAATGGGAGTCGATGCTGGTGCTAGTGTGACAGCAGAGAAAGTCAAAAAATTGGGTTCTGGCATTCTCAGTAATAAGGCTTATGCTGGTGTTAACCCTGAATTTCCACTTGATTTTTTTGAGAAAACAGTATGCATAACAGCAGATGTGAAACTGGGTGGTGATGCCATCAGAAATGGTGATTCTGAAGGGGCAAAGCAAAGCTTGGCATCTGAGGATGGCTTTCTAGAAAGTCCAAGCTCTGCGGGATTTAAGGTAATTGTTGCAGAAGGGTCTAGTGACCTGGCGTACATGGCATTTAGTCTAGTTTCTGGTGTTCATCTCCTTTCTCCTTTCTTACATGGCATGCTTAGTCTAGTTTCTGGTATTCATCTCCTTTCTTGTTTCTGGTTTCATCTCCTTTCTTCCACTTGTTCCTAATCCACTCTGTTTTCGGTTGTATCTATTCTAATGAACTTGCTTTCATATTTAACTTAAAATACTATGGTTCTAACATTATTTCTTTTTCTGCCTCAGATATCTGTCTTCAATTCAAACCCTGATATCATCATGGTTGGGTTTCGCGTGCATGTTGGTAATACATCGGCAAACCATATACCTTCAGACGTTACTATTTTCCACCGGGTCATTAAATTAGATGAAGGCATGCGATCTTGGTATGATATACCATTTACAGTTGCTGAGTCACTCCTTGCTGATGAAGAATTTACAATCTCTGTTGGACCAACCTTCAATGGATCTGCTCTGCCTAGAATTGACTGCCTTGAAGTATATGGTAGAGCCAAAGATGAATTTGGTTGGAAAGAAAAGATGGATGCTGTACTTGATATGGAAGCTCGTGTGCTTGGTTGTAATTCCTTGCTTTCAGGATCTGGGAAAAAAACGCCGATCAATGCAGTCTGCTCCTATACAGGAGCAGGTCATAGCAGATGGTCTTAAGCTTCTATCCAGCATTTATTCATTGAGCAGGTCTCAGGGTTGCTCCAGAGCTGAGGAAGTTAATCCGGAGCTAATGAAACTGAGGTGCAAGCAGTTATTAGAAAAAATATTTGAGAGTGACCGAGAGCCTTTGTTGCAGGCTGCTGCTTGCCATGTCTTGCAGGCTGTGTTCACCAAAAAAGATACCTACTATCATGTAATTATCCACTTTTGATCCATATGATACATTAACATTTTTTCTTGCAACGCATGATCGTCCTTATTTGTGCATTAGTAAATGAAGAAATGTGTTGTTTAATCAGTAATTGACATCTTCTCCTTCAGGTTAAGGACACCATGCGGCTTCTTGGGGTGGTGAAGTCGACCTTTGTACTCTCTTCAAGGCTTGGGGTTGGTGGTACTGCAGGGGCATGGATAGTTGAAGAGTTTACAGCCCAGATGCGGGCAGTATCTAAGATTGCATTGCACCGTCGCTCAAATCTGGCTACATTCTTGGAGAAAAATGGTATTTCACACATTCTCTGATGCCCCAAGTTGTTTACATGTTTAAGACTTCACATTCTCTTGTGGTGGATGTAGTATATGTTCCTTAAGTAGTAACCACATCATAAAAGTATGTGTCGTAGATGGTACCTCAACCTATTACAGGAATAGAAACTGAGTGAATCTTGCTGCCTAAATTCCTCAACTTAGTGAGCTTTGATAATGCTGAGGTTCTTTTCCTTGCTGTATATTAACTTATCAACTTAAAATGTGTCTTACCTGTTCACTGATTTCTTTGAGATTGGTGATACGTAGCTGTAGCTTATTCATGCCATATCATGGCATTGGTGGTACAGTTTATTTTTTGTTCTTCTTGCAGCCTAGTTATAATGTATGAATATCCAATTTATATACAGATTATTGTTTTTCCTTTTAGTTATTTGTATGAAATTTTATGATACAGTACTTCCCATAAGATTTGATCAAGTACAGTTTGCATTCTTTCATTTGTAGTTTCTTCTTGTGCATGAATCATATAGAGGGTTGAATCACCTTATTTGATGTTCTATTGTAATGCCTACCTATATCGGTTTTACACTGTATTATTAGGTACTTTTCTGACATTCTAAAACAGCAGTTCTTTTCCATGTTAATAATATTTTGATTTTTTCCTACGCCTGACTGGGTTTTGTTGGAATGTTACTTTGGCTTGAGCTTTGTTAATTTTTGTACAGACATGGGCTGATTGTTGTTGTCTTTGAAGTAGTTATTTAAAAGGGGAAAAAGGAGATGATCTTTTAGAAAGTATTATGATTTTATCCATATTGCTGCCATTTTGCTTGGAAGAAGAGATACAATTCTTTAAGTGGTGTTGCAAGTTTATACATACATAATGGTTTTTTCTTTTCTTCAGATCATTTACTGCCTTTTTTATTTTTCTTTAACCATTTTGTTATCTTGGGTTGCTTGCTCCACTCATCCTGCATCCTTCATTTTAAATTAAAGGATCTTTCTTCCCATCCCTGATGTAGGTTCTGAAGTTGTGGATGGGCTTATTCAAGTTCTGTGGGGAATTTTGGACTTAGAGCAGCTTGACACACAAACAATGAACAACATTGTCATATCTTCTGTAGAACTCATTTATTGTTATGCTGAATGCCTGGCTTTGCATGGAAAGGATACAGGGGTACACTCTGTTGGACCTGCTGTTGTATTATTTAAAAAGCTTCTCTTTTCGCCCAATGAGGCTGTTCAGACCTCAACCAGGTAGTAAATTGTTATTATTGCTTCATGGTGAGTTCAACTTGTTTTTTAGTTTTTTTCAGTTATTCACGTGTACTACCATTTTCTTTCCAGCTTGGCTATATCATCAAGGTTGCTTCAGGTTCCATTTCCCAAGCAAACTATGTTGGCCACAGATGATGCTGCAGAAAATGCAGTATCTGCCCCTGTGCATGCTGACACTACTGGCGGAAATGCCCAAGTAATGATTGAAGAAGATTCCATCACTTCATCTGTTCAATACTGTTGTGATGGTTGCACCACTGTTCCTATACTTAGACGGCGATGGCATTGTACTGTTTGTCCTGATTTTGATCTGTGTGAGGCATGCTATGAAGTTTTGGATGCAGACCGTCTCCCTCCACCTCACTCTAGAGATCATCCTATGACAGCAATACCCATTGAAGTGGAATCACTAGGGGGAGATGGCAATGAGTTCCACTTCACACCAGATGATGTAAGTGATTCAAGCATATTGCCAGTAACTGCAGATTCGAGGACCCAGAATTCTGCTCCATCAATTCATGTCCTCGAGCCCAATGAGTCTGGGGAGTTTTCTGCTTCAGTGAATGACCCGGTTTCAATTTCTGCTTCGAAACGAGCTTTGAATTCCTTGATTCTCTCTGAGCTTCTTGAACAATTAAAGGGATGGATGCAGTCAACATCAGGGGTCCGGGCGATTCCTATTATGCAGCTCTTCTACAGATTATCTTCTGCTGTTGGTGGACCGTTTATAGACATCTCAAAGCCTGAAAGCTTAGACTTAGAGAAATTAATTCGGTGGTTTCTGGATGAGCTTAATCTTAACCAACCCTTGGTTGTGAAAGCTCGCTGTTCATTTGGGGAAGTTGCAATACTTATATTCATGTTCTTTACCCTGATGCTACGAAACTGGCACCAGCCTGGCAGTGATAGTTCCATGCCAAAACCTAGTGGGACAGCAGAAACGCATGATAAAAGCATCATCCAGATCTCGCCGTCCACCTCATTTACTGCTTCATCTTCCTTGGATGATCAAGAGAAAAATGACTTTGCATCCCAGCTGCTTCGAGCTTGCAATTCCCTTAGGCAGCAGTCTGTTGTCAATTACTTAATGGACATATTGCAGCAGCTAATGCATGTTTTTAAGTCCCCTTCTGTTAATTATGAAAATGCAGGACCTGGTTCTGGCTGTGGAGCCCTGTTAACAGTTCGAAGGGATGTTGTGGCTGGTAATTTTTCGCCTTTCTTTTCAGACTCATATGCAAAAGCCCACCGTACAGATATTTTTATGGACTACCATAGGTTGTTGTTGGAGAATACCTTTCGGCTGGTATACACTTTGGTCAGACCTGAAAAGCAAGACAAGACTGGAGAGAAAGAGAAGGTGTCAAAGATCTCTTCTGGCAAGGATCTGAAGCTAGATGGATATCAAGATGTCCTGTGCAGTTACATTAACAATCCTCACACGACTTTTGTGAGAAGATATGCAAGGCGGCTTTTCCTCCATCTCTGTGGAAGCAAAACTCATTATTATAGTGTGCGAGACTCTTGGCAGTTTTCAAGTGAGATGAAAAAACTTATCAAACATGTAAACAAATCTGGTGGGTTTCAAAATCCTTTGTCATATGAGAGAAGTGTTAAGATAGTTAAATGTCTCTGTACTATGGCTGAAGTAGCTGTGGCACGACCTCGGAATTGGCAGAAGTACTGTTTGAGGCATTCAGATTTTTTGCCATTCTTGATAAACGGAGTGTTCTATCTCGGAGAAGAGTCAGTTATTCAGATTTTGAAGCTGTTGAATCTTTCCTTCTACGCAGGAAAGGATATTGGTAATTCATTACAGAAAAATGAAGCTGCGGATTCAGGTATTAATTCAAACAAATCAGGGTCACAATCTCAGGATCCCAAAAAGAAGAAGAAAGGTGAAGAAGGAACAGAATCTGGTTCGGACAAGTCCTATTTGGATATGGAGTCGGTGATTGATATCTTCAGTGACAAGGGTGGAGATGTCTTGAAGCAATTCATTGATTGCTTTTTGCTGGAATGGAATTCTAGCTCTGTGCGTGCGGAGGCCAAGTGTGTTCTTTTTGGTGTTTGGCATCATGCTAAGCAACCATTCAAGGAAACTATGATGATGGCTCTCTTGCAAAAAATAAAATGTCTACCAATGTATGGTCAAAATATTGTTGAGTATACTGAACTTGTCACCTGGTTGCTGGGTAAAGTTCCAGATATCAGCTCAAAGCAACAGAGCAGTGAACTTGTGGATCGATGCTTAACCCCTGATGTAATCAGATGCATCTTTGAAACACTTCATTCACAAAATGAGCTTTTAGCTAATCATCCAAATTCCCGCATATACAACACTTTAAGTGGATTAGTTGAATTTGATGGGTACTATCTTGAGAGTGAGCCTTGTGTTGCCTGCAGCTCTCCTGAGGTACCATACAGCAAGATGAAGCTAGAAAGTCTGAAATCTGAAACAAAATTCACTGACAACCGCATCATAGTGAAATGCACTGGGAGTTACACCATCCAGACTGTGACCATGAATGTTCATGATGCACGGAAGTCTAAATCAGTGAAAGTTTTGAATCTGTATTATAATAATCGACCTGTGGCTGACTTGTCAGAATTGAAGATAATTGGTCTCTGTGGAAACGGGCCAAGAGCTGTCATCTTGCTTTCAATCAGACTGAACTTAAAGTGGAGTTTCCCATTCCAATAACAGCTTGTAACTTCATGATTGAGCTGGATTCCTTCTACGAAAATCTTCAGGCTTTGTCTCTTGAACCATTGCAATGCCCACGTTGCAGTCGACCGGTCACTGATAAGCATGGTATATGCGGCAATTGCCACGAGAATGCATATCAATGCAGGCAGTGCCGCAACATTAATTATGAAAATCTGGATTCCTTTCTCTGCAATGAGTGTGGCTATAGTAAATATGGTAGATTTGAGTTCAATTTCATGGCGAAGCCAAGTTTTACTTTTGATGACATGGAAAATGATGAAGATATGAAGAGAGGGTTGGCTGCTATAGAAACTGAATCAGAAAATGCTCATAGGAGATATCAGCAACTTTTAGGATTCAAGAAGCCCCTCCTTAAGATTGTTTCAAGTGTTGGCGAGAATGAAATAGATTCGCAACAGAAGGATTCTGTTCAGCAAATGATGGTCTCCTTACCTGGGCCCGCATGTAAGATTAACCGAAAAATAGCTCTTCTTGGTGTCCTATACGGTGAGAAGTGCAAAGCAGCTTTTGATTCTGTCAGCAAAAGTGTTCAGACACTGCAAGGATTACGCCGGGTTTTGATGAATTATTTGCACCAGAAACGTGCAGATAGTGGAGTGGCTGCTTCAAGATTTGTGGTTTCCAGGTCTCCAAATAATTGCTACGGCTGTGCTACTACGTTTGTGACACAGTGTCTAGAGGTATTACAGGTGCTGTCAAAGCATCCAAGTTCCAAGAGACAACTTGTTGCTGCTAGCATTTTAACAGAACTATTTGAAAATAACATTCATCAAGGTCCTAAAACGGCTCGTGTGCAAGCTAGGACAGTTCTTTGTGCATTTTCTGAGGGTGATATAAATGCAGTGACCGAGTTGAATAGCTTAATACAGAAAAAGGTGATGTACTGCCTTGAACATCATCGCTCCATGGACATTGCTCTGGCCACCCGTGAAGAGTTATCATTGCTGTCAGAAGTATGTTCGCTTGCTGATGAGTTTTGGGAATCGAGATTGCGTGTTGTTTTCCAGCTGTTATTTTCTTCTATCAAATTGGGTGCTAAGCATCCTGCCATTTCTGAGCACGTTATTCTTCCTTGTCTGAGGATTATATCTCAGGCATGTACTCCCCCAAAACCTGATGTACCAGATAAAGAGCCTAGCATGGGAAAATCTACTACTGGTTCGCAGATCAAGGATGAAAGTAATTCTATATCTGGATCTTTGGGTGGCCTTGGCAGTGGGGGCAAGCCTACTCCAGAATCATTAGATAAAAACTGGGATGCCTCACAAAAGACTCAGGATATTCAATTATTAAGCTATGCCGAGTGGGAGAAGGGGGCATCATATCTTGATTTTGTTAGAAGGCAATACAAAGTGTCCCAGTCTACTAAAGGTGGTAGCCAGAGGACTCGACCTCAAAGACAAGATTTCCTTGCTCTTAAATATGCACTCAGGTGGAAGCGGTGTACTAGTAAGACAGCAAAGAATGACTTATCAGCATTTGAGCTGGGGTCGTGGGTTACGAACTTGTTCTTAGTGCTTGTTCTCAATCTATAAGGTCGGAGATGTGCATGTTGATAAGTCTGCTCTGTGCCCAAAGTACATCAAGACGATTTCGGTTATTGAACTTACTAGTGTCGTTGTTACCAGCAACTCTTTCTGCTGGTGAAAGTGCTGCGGAATATTTTGAGTCACTGTTCAAGATGATAGATTCAGAAGATGCCCGTCTGTTTTTGACTGTGCGTGGATGCCTGGGCACAATTTGTAAACTAATTACTCAAGAAGTGGGCAATGTCGAGTCCCTAGAAAGGAGCATGCATATTGACATTTCACAGGGATTTATACTCCACAAGCTTATTGAGTTGCTTGGTAAATTTTTGGAGGTTCCAAATATTAGATCCAGGTACGATTGATTTCTTTACTATTTTCTAATTTTTTGCTTAACTGATTTCATTCTTGATATCTTACTTAATTCATCTTGATGTCAGATTCATGCGAGACAATTTGCTGTCAGAGATTCTTGAGGCTCTTATTGTTATTCGTGGCTTGGTAGTGCAGAAGACGAAGTTAATTAGTGATTGCAATCGGCTTCTAAAAGACCTTTTAGATAGCCTTTTGCTTGAAAGCAGTGAAAATAAACGGCAGTTCATTCGAGCCTGTATCTGTGGTTTGCAAAACCATGGAGAGGAGAGAAAGGGCCGAACTTGCCTGGTATGGACTAATTTATAGTTGTGCATTATGTACTATTTTCCAAATGATGATTTTAGTTCGTTTTATAACCCATGAAAGTACTAATGTAGTGTCTTAATTATCCAGTTCATATTAGTTTTTTTTTCCTTCTATATTGATAAAAGTCACATACTTCTTGGGTTCTGCATAGTTTCTTCTACAAGTTTTCCCCATTCTCATTTTTGCATGTGTGTTTTAACATTTATCTTGTTTTGTCTTTTCTTTTATTTGTAAGCATGGGATTCAGTTTTGTTTTCACTAACCTATGTGTCAGCACTCATTTTCAATTTTATGTACAGTTTATACTGGAGCAGCTCTGCAATCTCATCTGCCCTTCAAAGCCAGAGCCGGTGTATCTGCTGGTTCTAAACAAGGCACATACGCAAGAAGAGTTCATTAGGGGGTCTATGACAAAAAATCCCTATTCTAGTTCTGAGATTGGTCCTCTGATGCGTGATGTCAAGAATAAAATCTGTCATCAGTTGGATCTATTAGGTCTTCTTGAAGATGACTATGGGATGGAATTGCTAGTTGCTGGAAACATTATTTCTCTTGATTTGAGCATAGCTCAAGTCTATGAGCAAGTCTGGAAGAAGTCAAATCAATCTTCAAATGCCATGGCTAATACTACATTGTTATCCCCTAATGCTGTTCCATCAGCCAGAGACTCTCCACCTATGACAGTGACGTATCGGCTTCAGGTTTGTTACATATGTTCTTATCTAATTATTTACCAAAGAAAAGTGCGTTCACTGATTACTGTTTGCTTCTAAATGACGAAGGAATTACTTTTTTTGCTCCATTCATATGTCAATCTTTGATATATAGGAGTTTGGTCCTAAACTTACAATCAGATTGCAGAAACCAAATTCTAACAATGACATATAAAATTCCATACAAAACTAAAGAAGTTCTTGCACTGTCAAATCATTTAAAGCATAAAGTTGAGATGATATAGTTCACCTACAAATTTATTTTCTAGTTAAAGTCTGAATTAATCCACGACTTTAGCTAACATCTAAAGATAGGTACTCTCCATAATCTTTCGCCAACTTAATCTTGGTTTTTACATTCAAATCCCTTATTTTATTTAAATTTGTTCATCCAGATGCAACCTTACATCCTTTATTCCTAACAGATCTATGGTGTATCTGTAGTGTGACGTTTTTCTACTGACTTTGATTTCTCCTACCTTGATGTCTGTTTGATGTATCTTTTTGGCTACAATTGCCAGGGATTAGATGGTGAAGCAACTGAGCCTATGATAAAAGAATTGGAAGAAGATAGAGAGGAGTCACAAGATCCAGAGGTCGAGTTTGCTATTGCAGGTGCTGTTCGCGAGTATGATGGGCTGGAAATTATATTGAGCATGATCCAGGTGTGTTGCATCTTGCATTTATTGTCCTTCCCAGATTTTGAAGAGTTCCTTTTTATTTTTTCAATTCAAATTTATTCCATTTATGTTGCAGTAGAACATAACTGTGTAAGATACATATTGAACTCCTAAGCATGTGGATTGGAAAATTTATTTCTTGGGAAACAGCTTTTATAAACCATCACTGACATTTGTGTTACTAATCTTTACTTTTTCTTTTTGGGTCGGGGGTTATGGATTCTAAATCTAACAGTTGTCAGATTACTCACATCCTCAATTTTTTTATTATTTAAAGAAAAGGGCAGTCTGGATGTTCAGTTGTTCTGTGGGTATAGTTACACTTCCTTTAATTAGATTTCCATGTCCAGGATTTACACTCCTTTCTTTTTATTTTGTTTTTCATTCCTTTGTTTTTGTAAGGGAAACCTTTTGCCACTCATTGTTGAAATATCTGACTTATAATATGAATGTACAGCGTTTGCGGGATGATTTCAAGTCCAACCAAGAGCAATTGGTAGCTGTTCTAAATCTCCTCATGCATTGTTGCAAAATAAGAGAGAACAGGCAGGCCTTGCTGAGGTTAGGAGCTTTAGGTTTACTTCTTGAAACTGCAAGACATGCCTTTTCTGTGGATGCCATGGAACCGGCTGAAGGCATACTGTTGATTGTTGAGAGTCTGACACTGGAAGCTAATGAAAGTGACAACATTAACATCACACAGAGTGCTCTTACTGTCACTAGTGAAGAGACAGGTGAACAGGCCAAGAAAATAGTCCTCATGTTTCTGGAGAGATTGTCTCATCCTTTGGGCCTTAAGAAATCAAACAAACAGCAGAGGAACACTGAGATGGTTGCGAGAATCTTGCCTTACTTAACATATGGTGAACCTGCTGCAATGGAAGCTCTTATCCTGCACTTCAGCCCACCCTTGCAAGACTGGAGAGAATATGATCGGCTGCAGAAAGAACATGAAGATAACCCAAAAGATGAGAACATTGCCCAGCAAGCTGCAAAACAAAGATTCACACTGGAAAATTTTGTAAGGGTCTCTGAGTCTCTCAAAACAAGCTCCTGTGGAGAGAGATTGAAAGACATTATTCTTGAGAGGGGTATTACTGGTGTTGCAGTTGGACATCTGAGGGATAGTTTTTCAGTAGCGGGGCAGGCTGGTTTTAAATCAACTACAGAATGGGCAATAGGCTTAAAATTGCCATCTGTTCCACTGATATTGTCTATGCTGAGGGGCTTGTCAACAGGACATTTGGCCACTCAGATGTGTATTGATCAGGGAGGGATATTACCTTTGCTTCATGCTTTAGAAGGGGTCTCAGGGGAAAATGAGATAGGAGCGAGGGCTGAAAACTTGTTGGACACGCTTTCAAATAAGGAGGGAAAAGGAGATGGATTTTTGGAGGAGAAGGTGCAGATGTTGAGACATGCCACCAGGGATGAAATGAGACGTAGAGCTTTAAGGAAGAGAGAGGAATTACTTCTGGTAATTACCATTGACTTTGTTATTTTTACCCAGCTTATCTTTAAATTAAAGGAAAGCAGGTGCCACTGAATCAAAGGTTTTAGTAGATCAATTAGTTTAGTTGCTTACAGTAATTCTTAAGTTAAATATACATCAAAAAGTTCCGTTACAATGTTGGGAAATGGGGTATCCTCCCCTGTTATTCGTAACTTAAAACTTGAGTGTAATCTTCTTTATAGTTAGTGAGTAGAAGCTATAATACGTTGTAAGAGATGGTAGAAGGATAGTATTTAGTCGTGTTTGCATTTCTTTTCTTATTTGACCTTCCAGTTAGCATTAATATTATCTGTAAGCTGATAGTTACCTCTTTCTTCATAAACTCAGGGGCTTGGAATGCGACAGGAGCTAGCTTCAGATGGTGGTGAGCGTATTATTGTTGCTCGACCACTGCTTGAAGGTTTAGAAGACGTGGAGGAGGAGGAGGAGGATGGGTTAGCATGCATGGTTTGCCGAGAGGGTTACAGTTTAAGGCCTACTGACTTGCTTGGTGTTTACTCTTATAGCAAACGAGTGAATTTAGGTGCAGGGCCTTCTGGTAGTGCTCGTGGGGAGTGTGTTTATACAACTGTTAGTTATTTCAACATTATTCATTTCCAGTGCCACCAGGAAGCAAAGAGAGCAGACGCTGCTCTGAAAAATCCAAAGAAAGAGTGGGAAGGAGCGACTCTCAGAAACAATGAATCTCTTTGCAATTCTTTGTTCCCTGTGAGAGGTCCATCTGTTCCTTTAGCACAGTATATTCGCTATGTTGACCAGTACTGGGACAACCTCAATGCTCTAGGACGTGCTGATGCAAGTCGTCTTCGGCTGTTGACATATGACATTGTTCTGGTATAACACTTTCTTTCTCTTTCTTCTGTTTTGTTATTTAGCCTTTTTGTTGTGATAGTCTTGTTCTTCCCTTGTGCATTGCATTTTCTCTATGTTTAGAAGATTGCATTAACAAAATGCTTAATGTATACTGATGGTTTCCTTGATTAAACCTTTTGCATGATGTTAGGAATAATATAAATTTAGGATAATGATATCACAAGAGCAATTTCATTTACTATCTTACATGAACTGATTAACTTGTGATGATGCTTCAAGTACCATGAGTATGAATGAGTTGCTTGAGGTGACCGCATCCATGTCTTTCTACTATGGATTGATTGGGCATCATAAATCTGACCCTAACATCTATGAACCTTTGTTATATAGATGCTAGCTCGATTTGCAACTGGGGCATCATTTAGTGCAGAAAGCAGAGGTGGTGGCAGGGAAAGCAACTCCAGATTTCTTCCTTTCATGATCCAAATGGCGCGTCACCTTCTTGATCAGGGAAACCCATCTCAGCGTCATACAATGGCCAAGTCTGTGTCAACATATTTGACATCTTCTAGCTTAGATTCTAGACCTTCTACTCCTGAAAACAACCATCTCTGGGATCTGAAGAAACTGTCCAATTTATGATGGTGAATTCACTTCTCTCGGAATCTCATGAATCCTGGGTGCAACACCGCCGTGCCTTCTTGCAGCGTGGAATATACCATGCCTACATGCAGCACACGCATGGCCGGTCAGCAGGTCGCACATCATCCAGTTCATCGCCTTTAGTCAAGATAGAGTCGGGAAATACAAGCCAAAGTCCGAGTGCAGAAATTGGGGGTGCTGATGAGCTTTTGTCTGTCATTAGACCAATGCTCGTCTACACTGGCTTGATTGAGCAGCTGCAACGTTTCTTCAAGGTACAAAAATCAGCAAATCTGTCATTGACCAGAACAGAAGGTACTTCTACTGCATCAGAAGGGGAAGATGACAGTGGAAGTTGGAAGGCTGGGAGGTAGTGATGAAAGAGCGACTTTTAAATGTAAAGGAGATGGTGGATTTCTCCAAGGAGTTGCTGTTGTGGCTCGATGAGATGAGTTCTTCCAGTGATTTGCAGGAGGCATTCGATATAATTGGTGTATTAGCTGATGTGCTTTCTGGCGGCATTACGAACTGTGAGGACTTTGTGCGCGCCGCAATCAATGCAGGGAGAGGCTGAGGATTTTTTATTAGACCTAGGGGCGTTGTATGTGTTGCTTGCTGTATTTGGCTACGGAGTTTAATTTTTTTTGTAAAAATAGTGATGCTTGTGAATTACATAACCCCATATGTATGAAGGGGTTCAAACTCCGCAACTCATTCTTTTTTTTTTTTTTTTTTTTTTTTTTTTTTTTTTTTTTTTTTTTTTTTTTTTTTTTTTTTTTTTTTTTTTTTTTTTTTTTTTTTTTTTTTTTTTTTTTTTTTTTTTTTTTTTTTTTTTTTTTTTTTTTTTTTTTTTTTTTTTTTTTTTTTTTTTTTTTTTTTTTTTTTTTTTTTTTTTTTTTTTTTTTTTTTTTTTTTTTTTTTTTTTTTTTTTTTTTTTTTTTTTTTTTTTTTTTTTTTTTTTTTTTTTTTTTTTTTTTTTTTTTTTTTTTTTTTTTTTTTTTTTTTTTTTTTTTTTTTTTTTTTTTTTTTTTTTTTTTTTTTTTTTTTTTTTTTTTTTTTTTTTTTTTTTTTTTTTTTTTTTTTTTTTTTTTTTTTTTTTTTTTTTTTTTTGTACGCTCAAATCTTCAAACCATGTTGATTGGGTGGGAAGGCTCATCAGTCCGACAATGTGCAGTACTACAAACATGAGATCAGTGGCTATTGTATGCCAGTTTCGTTTATGTTTCCATTTTACACCACTCAATTAATAGGTGAGTCCAGAGCCACCTCCTCCTCTTCACGCATACTGCTCCCGTGCCAAACCCAACCGACCTTCCATTCATCAACTTTCTCCCATCCCCCGTCTCTAAAAATCTGGCTCTGAGCGCCCACTGATAGTAAGTAACTTGTCAGAGGGTCGTTGTTTATTTCCGTGTGTAACGTTTCTTTATTTTCTCTTTCTTGTTTCTGTGATACATAATTTGTCATGCGGGTGTCAGCAAATGCTGTGGTCAGTTCTAAATCCAAGTACTAAGATGCTATTATGTCCCTTACTAGTCTTTGTGGGTATGTTGCAATCTGTAAGGTGTGATTTATGCTAAACTAATATAGAACAGATAATAAAATCTTTCCTTTACTAACTATGTCCATGCGTCTGATTCTGTGTCAACGGTTAGAACTAATTAAGTTCTAGCTCACATTATAGCATGCAGCCACAATGACTCTTGGCCGCAGAATCGCACATCCTAGGAAGCATGTGAAAATCAGTATATTAGCTGATGCGCTTTGTCATCTTTCATTGATTACGTATTAATCTTCTAACAAGACGAGAGGGAAAGACCCAAAAGTGTGAATGATGCTGTATGGTCTTAAAGGACTCCTTCACATGTGTCATTCTTTCATTTTATGGCTACACATTTATGAAGACACTGAGCATTATGGCATTATCTATGTTCTGTCATAGTTTTAGTACTAGAGAGTGCGTCGATTTGCAGTGCTTTAACTTTAGGGAGGAAAATATCATGTCGCCACCACCCTCAAAGCATATAAATTTGTATACTTGAAGTATTGAACTCTTACTCATGCCAATCATATCAATGTGCTGTCTTCTAGATATATTGGTTAAATTGACATGCAATTTAGTAACCACATAGTTTGTATAATCCCTTCCTAACGATATCCTCTATGCGTACCCACATGCTCCTAAGCCCGTGATCCAGGCCCCGCCGGGATCAACATCAAAGATAAAGTTTAAGTATTCCACAGATTATTTCTTCCTTACAACTCGGTATATCTTTGAGTCAGCCGTCGAATTAATGGAGGAGCATGAATGGAAAACTCTTTATAGGCTAATGTACGAGTAACAACCATTGAACGACATTGTAGTCCTTGTTTACGCCTCCTTGATTGTCGGTCATAATGTACAGCGTTCGTCAAGTCTGTTCTATATGTTTGGCCGAAATCCTTTGTTCTAACCCTCGTTGATTTGAAAACTTTCTACTTAATCTACATGCATATTTCTCCTAATGAGTGTTGTACATTTTGCGTTCATGCGGTTAGCGGTAAAGTGGCTGTCAGTGGTATGGTTTGATAATGGGTTTCTCGGAATGAAGTATGTGACTAGACATAATATTGGCCATCACATGATACAGTCAAAAATTCTCTCGCCTGTTGAGAGCTTCCGTATCCATAGTGCACAAATATATAAATTTGCGGACATATATTGCTGAAACATAGTATGCCTAAGGCATGCCTGGCTGTGCCCCACGTAACCAAGTTTTTCCATGTCATAGCCTACTCATCATGAAATTCTCTGAATTGAACAAACTCAGAACCAGCTCTTACACGAGCACAAAAACCATGCACAGAAGCAACTCTATAATCCCAAGATAATGGTGTCAGCCTAGCCAAGCCGACTCTCCAACTCACCGTTTTGCTCTTCTTACTGTGATCAATAATCAACTAAGCCACCGGATTTGTTGAGATCAAATCGAGAATTTGATCAAGTAGAACCTAGAAAGCAGACTGTTTTATCTGCTTCTTCGCGCCATGCAATTCCTTGTCCGAAGGTATGTGAATTAAGAACGAACGGGCGACAGTACAATGGGATCAAGTGCAAAGAAGGCGTAATCAATGTGTCTGCCGTCGCATTAACAAACGACAGTGACACACTAAACATGCTATTACTCACCCCTTCTCAAAGAATGCAACGGATCCAAAAAGAATTCTGCTGGGACAAATAAAATCACATAATAATGATAAACGAACTTAGCGCAACCAGGTTTAGGAATCCAGTGGCGCCCAGCCATGAATGCTACATGGCTTCACAATCTTGAGTCCGTGTGGAAACGCTCTTGTGCTCTATTGCATGAAATGCGAGGAAGATGATGTCACAAGGGTATAGTATCTTGGATGCACCAGTTTGTTTACATTCGAGCACCAGCGCCCTAGTCGTACCAAATCCACTGTGGTGGGATCCAATGTCACTACTCAAACATGAAAGCAGTAAGCCCCAAGAACACATACTCTACCTCTTAGTTCAACAGAGCTACACAGGTAGACATGAGTTGGAGAAACTGTTGGTCACCTATATGGTCTCAAGCTACGGATAGACAATATGGGAAGAATGGTCACATACACTAACGTCGAATTAGTTTCCTTCTCTTTAGACAAAAAACATAAGAGCTTTGAGAAATACAATACACAAACCAATTTGGGACACTGTTTCCGCTTGCTATAGATCAAGGTACTCATGATTTCATTTGCTCTAAGATTCACGTTCATTATCGTTAGATCTTTTCAAATAAGAAAATCCAGTATGGAGTTCAACCCCTGAGAGGTGATAGCCTTGGAGGGCAGAGTCCCTTGGCTATAGCTCCTTTTTTAATCCTCCCCACGTAAGGAATTTATAAGTTGGATCACTTTCTTTTTTTACTACGAAAGATAATTGAGAATTGTTAATTCATAGTACATCTACGTATTTGTGATACCTTACAACAACAAGGGAATTCGATGCCTACAAAGTAAACTGGTGATTTCAAAAACTGAGAATCCACTGGAAGGCTTGCAAGTCAGTGGTTTCAATAAAAATGGTCAAATTTTCGGCTCTTCTTTTTGCTGAAAAAGGCCACATACACGCTCTTGGTTTTCCTTCATGTTTTCACTCCACCTGCTTTCCTACATCTATTGCTAGGTGGGTATGCAGTTTTTCGCTCTAAATGTATGTTGTCGTTAACTGTTTAATGTTTACGCTCGTAAGGTGATTTATACGTCTTATAAATAAAATAATTAACTGATTAACTTTATGTTGCATGTGCTATTACTTTTTGCATCTAGTAGTCCGGAGTCACCTCCATATGCTTGCTGGATAGCTTATGGTTACTTCAAGTAGTGCTATCTATATTGAGCTTCTACATGTCTTGCCGAAGAGGGATACCAAAACTGTGAACTCGAAGACTTTTGAGGCTGTTCTCTAGCCAGGTGGTTAGATCCATTCGAGACAAATCCGTGATGATTCGCCGCCCCTCTATCCAGCATCGCCTCCTGAGCCTACCAACACCGTTTCTGTTTCGCCCCACAGAGCTTGGGGGGTGCTGTGAAAGGTAGTGGGGGCGCAGCTGGTTGAAGGCCCCATGGGGAATTATCGGGTGCTGTGCTGTTTGATGTGTTTGTAGAGTTCTCCTGGTTCTGATAATGCTGTGTGAAAGATACCACACAAGTCCAACCGCGCTACCATCGGTGCAGTCTTGCCAAGACCATCCGAGTTTAGTCCCAAGCTCCCAGTGTGAGGTAGGATTATGCAGTGGATGGCGACAACTGGATTCCGGGTAGGGTGATATTATTGCACATGCATCAGTGGGGGGTCTGTAACATGGGCTATGTACTCCTTGGTTGAGAATCCCCTAATCCCTGCTTTTGTCTGGGGAGTGAATCTTCGCGTGGGGGTGGGGGCGTGTGGGGTGCATGGTGGGGTTGGAGTGGCAGAGTGACGACTAAGAAAGGGGGACCTACTACTATGGACTGGCGGCAATGGTTGACGCACGTTGCGCCCTGATGCTGAAACTGTGCTCAGCCTCTTGGGCACACCACTTCGTCTCGCCAACCCCCCACCCCCTCCCACACACTTGCAAACCCATCCTAGTTCCTGTTTTAGATTTGTCTTTTGATTCCATCGCAAAGTGATAGAGTACTTGTGACATCAATCGCATCTTGCAGAATACGTGGTGCAATTTGCTACATATTTCTCTGTTGCATAAATGCGCGTTAAGTTTTCATGTGAACTTTTAGCATCGGGTACTTGTGTCCTCAGCTCCGTGCCCCCCCCCCACACAATTGCGGGAGTAAGCTGGGATCGCAATTGTGGCCGCAGCTGGGGCAAGGAGCAGAGGTTGATTTCTTGGACTGGGTGGGGGGGGGGGGGGGGAAATTGGTTTTTGCTAGAGGAGGTTCTCGTGTTGCAAGGGCCGTGGCGTGTTGGCATGTGGTGCCGGGTGCCTAAAGGGGTTGGCATATCACTTGGTGGGATGCCCAGCGGGGCCACACATTGTCACCATTACTGGTGGGTTGTCCTGGCGCCGGGGGCTTGAATGTGTTGAAGGTGGTGCCGTTTTTAATGGTCCCTATTAAGGAGCAAACTAGTGGCAGATGGGTGGGTTAGCCTATAGCTGTCGAACGTCAGCCAGGTGGCGTGACAGGAAGGGGACCGAAGTGTCCTTACGGTATCCAATAGGGGACCTCAATGCTCTTCCCGTGAGTTTCGAACATTTGTTGTTCCTGCAAAAACACAGGCGATCAGGTCAGCTCCTTTCAAGCACCTTGGTAAATATGTCGGGCCTTTGAATCGGGGGTCAGACAAGTCAACACTGACAGCTTCGCGATGAACAACCGGAAATGTTGGTCATTCAAAAAAAGCCATTAGTTGATCCTGCGGGACATCGTGGAACTACCCTTAATTGATACTACACTCAACCACACTGCTAGGGTGATACGATGGGATCTGCAAACCAGTTTCTCTGTGTTTTCCTGCATGGATTATGTAAAGACTTCAGAGTCAGGCGTGCAGGGTCATCCGCCACAATTCGCTGATCAGCTATATAGCAGATTCTATTGCAGAAATTGCATATGAAAATGGATGATTTTCGCGAGCACTTGCCTCTTCTAATTTCATGTTACTTTGTTTCGTGGAGTTCGGAAGACATGTGCTGGAACACGCCAGCATCTGCTCTTTAATCTACGTACCCTCTTGCAGGACGGCCCTTGGAACTGTATGAGGTTGAAAATAGTGAGGGAAGACAAGCAGCAGTTGTCAGCCTGATCAAGTATGTCCAGTCACACGAGAAGTATGATGGTGGGAAAATGAGGACCCAACAGTTGTGAGATCAGCTTCCGTGCCGCAGTTGTTGTCTGCACTAGTTCAGAGCATGGTGGATGCTATCTTCTTCCAAGAGATCTTCGTGAGACTGTGGAGGCAGAGCACTCAAATGGGCAATGGAGTGCACACATCGAGACCCTAGGCCTGCCGCTCACATCAGATTTACCGTGCGTTGCGGCCTAGGTCACAAGTGATACATGTTTTGCTGCTTCTCTCTCCGGTGCCTTATAGGATCCTAGGAAATCCAGTACCGTCCATTTTAGATTCATTATGGAATTTTGCTGACATTGCAAGTGATGGGTGGAGAACATGGAACCAAAAAGTTGATACTGTACCCACAACTCTTTTTGGGGGTGTGTGGCTATGATGCACCCAGATCTTTGTTCATGTCTACTGTCCAAGTGCTTGAACTCTTCTCACGTGTGATTGACCGGTTTATCATTCCGGGACCAGAACAACAGAAAATTGTGCTTTTGCTTTCGAGATGCCTCGGATGAGTTTGATGCCTTAAATAGGACATTGGACCTCCAACAATGGGAGACCAGGGTGGCTATGAACACCTCCATCTGGAGAAATCCTCCAACTTTGAGGGCGGGTGCAGCCATTTTTTCTTAAAGGAACTCATGCTCACAGTTGTCATTGGTGGTTCTATTGAAGTTCTCTCTCGCTCCGACACAGGCACTCTTGACTCTATACTTGGAATGCAGAGACCGACCTCTTGATGCACTCACAGCTCGTTGCTTACTTCGCCCTGTCTCTGCTTGCAGCTTTTTAGGCAAGGATCCAGTGATGGTTGCCTGCGTCGCCACTCCAACGCAGTTCCAGAAAGCTTGCCTGTTGGCGGCCCAACATCTTCAATTTGTGTAGAGTCAAAGTATTGTGAGGATGATGTGGTGTCTACTGGGGTTGCTTTATGATGGTTTTGAGTGGCTGGCTGGTGGTGAGTATTGTCAAGAGTATCACGATCTCCTTGCATTTTTGTGATCTCACACGCCTATGCAATGAGTGGTTCCACCCAAAGACCCCCGCATCAGCTTGTTTGGGGCACTATTACGACTACTGGAGAAAGGCCATTGAGTATCCAGCGTGTTATGCTAGCTCATCAACGACAGCTAAGAGGCATTGCTTCCAGATCATCACTTCGCAAATTCTCGCCCGTTGATCTCATCAATTGCAGTCCCAGTGAGCTGCCCCAAGAGTCCCCACATGTACTCGCTTTGTGTCCCAGTTGGTTAGAGAGCACTTACTTTGTGCTGTAGGCCTGAGTGTATTCGAAGCTCTTCTGCAAAAAAGAGTTGTAGCTCGTGCCAGGTTCTCAACCCTCATGAACCTGGTTCGTTCGTTTTGGACGTATAGGCGGTGGTGATGAAGAAGATTCTAGCCCTCATACCTCATTAAGGCTCCCGTGGGCCGCTAAAACAGTATTGGTATGGCATGCGCGATTCTCGCCTGGTTGTGGCCACGGAGGGGTTTCGAATGCGCCGTGGCAGGCACGGGGGATTCGTCAAGTCTGAAGGGCTGGATCTTGTGTCGAGCCTAGAGGGATAGGGGGGGTGGCTTTGCACAACAGCACGGCTTCTCCTTGTGGCGGTGTTTCT